TTACAAAGTTTGACTGAAGTATCCTGTTCAAATATTTCATTAAAATTAATATTATAGCCATTAATATTAGCCATGTGGTGCTTAATGGATTAGGTCCAGTTGTTTCTCTTTTGGAGAGTGGGATGGGATAGATGAGTCCTTTGAGTCTTTTAAACTTGGGGATTTTTTTATGGAGTAAACACATCATGACAAACTGATCATTATCTGCATTTAATCTACGTTTGTGTTTTAAGATTTGAGAACCTGAAGTTGTCTTTTTTTACTGCGTAATGTTTCATGTTTAGCGGTGGATCATTTTCAGTATTTTTTGGCTGTACTGTTGCAAACTCCATCTTAAGTTTCTGCATTTGTATTTTGTCCAAAACATACAACTTTTTGTGGTCTGTATTGAGTTTCCTTTTCGTTGATTTCAGACCATTACATCAAGTAATCGAGATTACTGAAGTCTGAGACTTTCCTTCTTGGAGTTTGCCACCATTACAGTGTCATCCACAAATTTGATAAGTTTGTTAACTTTTCTATCATCCAAATTGTTACTGAAGCGATTGAATGGACATAGATTGTACCAGTCTTTTCCTAGCTGAGTCAGGAGATAGCTTCATTTAGACTCCCACACAATATTTCTAATTTTGCAACAAACCACATTTTAATTTTGTATATATATTTAAATTTTTTGTTTAGACAGCTACTGTACCCATATTTTGTAACTAGAAGTACATTGTATCTCCTTGGTTTGCTTATGAGGTTGTCAGGTGAGGTGTTGCCAAAAGCCTGTACATCAGTCTGTATTTTTTATTATGCTTCTGTTTTTCCCACAACTTCCGTAAATTTTTCAAGGTAATTCCAAAGGACTGGAGTTTGAGTAAGGTCTTGAGTAATGTGTCTTTAGTGTAATTTATCTTAAATGTTTTCAGAAATTACTTAAGTCATTCTTCCTTATTCTCACCTACACCCCATCTCCTTGTTAAATTAGTAATGATATGATAGTTAAAATTTACATTAAATGGTTGCAATTAACATTTCTTGAAAGCTGAACAATGTATGATCTGGAATTTTTTTCCCTTTGAAGAAGTATGTATAATTTCTAAAATTATCTTTCTTACATTTAGAAGCCTTTCTTACTGCACTTTTAGGTGACTTCCTGACTGGAAAGGTTAACATGACCTTGATTTTTATCCTTGCTTTTTTTCTATTCCCCTTAATCATATGCTGTTTTTCAACTTCTAAAAATTAGAGATTCCTGATGCATGGATAACTGCCTTGTTTTGTTAACTTCTTCTGTTTCATGGGGAAGTTGTGCCGTTAGTATAAATTTTCAGTATGTCATCTACTGCGTTCTTCTGTTCTTCACTTGGTTGCCTGAAATCAAACTGATATTACGTCCCTTAATTTGTTAAGTTTGCATCTTTTTTGGAAGCTGACTTTCTGGTCTGCTCAATCTTTCATCTTATTCAATAGTGACCTCTTAGGGTTTTTTTTTCATCTTAAGTTTTGTGTTCTTAGTTGATTTGTAGTGCTAAGTACCAGACTGAATACAGTAGATCCCTGCAGCTTCATCCAGCTTTTGAAGCCACAGTTATTTTTAACAAAGTCTTACTATGGGATTGGCTTAACATTACACAGTGCCTTAAATAGTGCTAAAAGTGTAACTTATTCAGATGCTGAAGGCCTCCATATGATGAGGTATACCTGAGCATTACACTAAACTATCAATATTTCAGATTGATAATTATAATTTAGGTGAATGCTAGTGAAAGTTCCTGAGGTTGTTTTATACTGTCATACCATTTTCATCTGTCTCAGACTGAAACTTGGACTCCTATGTTGCCATTCCTTAAAATGTCTTCAATCAGTATAAATTAAGAGAAGCACCAGTAGCATATTTGATAATATTGGGGTGCGTGTTTGTGTGTAAATAGAAATGCCCAATTCTGCTCATCTTTCAGAAGGTTGAGTGTATAAAAATAACACTTCATATAAGTAATATTTTACAGCGTGCAACTGTAGCCATAGATATACTATAATATTCTAAACTTCGGTTATAAATAGCATCATACTAAATGTTAAGCAGGAGAGTTTAGTTACAAATGAAACTTAAGAGTCCTCTCATGCTGCTAACCAGCATATGTTGAGCATGCACATATTGTATTTATTGTTATGCTTAATCTGATGGAGCTGTGCAAGTGCTTTAAGATATTTGTGACTAGACCGTGGAGAATCTTACAAAGCACAGGACTTAAAAACCTTACATAACAATTTGTTTATGGTTACAAGTGTGCTACATGTCATAAGATACAGTTTAATAGTTTGAAAAATACTATAAAACAATAGTAGGTTTTTATAGAAAAAGACATTGCAATTTTAATCTGAAGCTCAAGCATTTTGTCCACTTGTGCTTAGATTGTTCATGGAAATCAAAGTATAAATTTCTGTATTACAAAGACAGTAAGCACTCTGTTGATACTGGCTTCCTAAGCATTTTTTCCAACCTTTCCGGAGTATTCTGAAAAGCTTTCAAGTAGCTTTTTAATAGGTACATAAGAGTAGATGATACCATTTTCTTTTTTATCTATATCTTTAAGAAAAAAACAAAAAACTTGCAATCATTGCAGTTTCATTCTTATAGCGATCTGCTGGCTAGCTAAAAGTTGAGTATTGCTGTTTATGTGTTATTAAAGAGTTATTTAAGTTATAGACATCTCATTTGGTTGTTAAACCCAAGAGGAGTTAAAATTTACTATCTTACTGTTATTTTTACCTTGTACTGCTGAATTTTATTCTAGTTAGTGTAATGATTTCTGTTTTACGGCAAGTACCCTTGTGTCTCGTTACGTGATGCAGTAGAAGGAGAAAAGGAGAAGGAAGGAAAGAAAATTACACCCTTGGGAATACTGTTAGGGAGAGATGGCATTAACTAGTAACAATAAAAAAAAGTTTGATGGTGTTAATCTGTCAAGCTGCTTACCACCAGAAGTGGTGTTTCAGTTTTGGTGTCCCTCCCCCTTTTTTTTTTTTATTCTTTCGATTTTCTCTGATTTTAAGCACCTATTCCTTCTCAATTTCTTTTTTTTCTGGATAATTCTGGTGGGGTTTGGACATCATGAGCTGTTCCTGCTCTAACCTGATGGAACAGTAATTTAATTTTTTGTAATAGTGGATGAATTGCTGTTGTACCAAATTAGTGAGTTAAATAAGCTTACAGAGGGATCTGACTAAAATGAGAGCTAGGCCAAAGGAATCAGTAGGAACTTATATCTAGAAGGAGCTAAAACGGACTGAAGGAGGGGATCTGTCCTTTTTTGGCAGTCTTTTTTCCCTTCTTCCATTCTTTCTTCCTTATCCTTTCCCTAGTGAAATACTATGCAGATAATTTGCTGATCTCTGGAATATTCTTCAGGAGGAAACTTGAGGAGATTGAACAATGTAAAAAAATGGCATGCTTGAAAAAGGTAATGCCAAATAATAGTGATGTTCCTCATTATTAAAGGATATTTTGAAATACCTTCAGGAATCAAATATCATCTAATAAACTGTTTTCATGGCTCCATTAGGAAAGAGATTCTGCTTCAGGGTACTTATAGAACTTGGGGCCTGCTCAGTTATCAAGTCAAGATTTCAAAGAGCAAAGAAAAAATTGTGTTTGGGCTACTTCCTGTTCACAAGAGGCAACCACGTGGTAAAACACCAGTCTGTTTTTTCTACCCCAGTGATGATTTTTCTGCCATTTAGCAGTTTGCTGCCAATGCTTCTGAAACACTGACTTGCCACCAGCAAGCTTTTTCCCCTCCACTGGACTTCCTCTCCTCTGGTCTTAAATGAGCACTGGTTGATGAGAAACAACCAGCAGATACACCTGTGAAAAAGCTTTAGGTGTGGAAGATTGTTTTGTAGAGAATGCCAGCACTCCTGACTTTTAGGCTGCCATTTCAACAAAATGTGCACCTGTTACTGCATAGCACTCCTGGAGCATCTGCAACAGCAGGGAGTACAACTATTTTTTTTTTAAATTAGTCTAGAGAGCTTACAGAAATTTAGCTGAAAAGCTATCTAGAGAGCCAGAGATGAGAGAGGGCAATTTCAGAAGCTGCTGAATCTTCTTTTTGCCACCCAGCAAGTATTACTTTCTTTGTATAGGATTCTGGAGGAGGATAGTCTGGTTTATTTTATGCAGTTGTAAAGCCAACTGAGAACAGACTTCCAAAATGCTTGTGAGAAATGATAATTTCACTTGCACAAGCTGTTCACAATCTTACTGTAGCACAAATACTATTTTTGTATTCTTATGTACATCAACTTATTCTCAAAAAAAAAAGCAAACTTGCTTTGCTTTGCTAGAAATAATAACGCTTTCTCATTATGCTTATTGTTGTCTTAATTTATTTTGAGAAAATAAATATTTGAACAAATCCAGTGTTGATGTTTGGTTTACATGGCAGAATGAAAGGATGCTTCATGCTGACTATTGTAAATTCGACAGGATGGAGAATGATCCTATTATTCTTTAAGCTATTGTTATCTAAAATACTGACCTCTGCATTAGTTTTTGTGTATTTGAATTGAAAAGAAAGATGCGATTTGCTGCTTTGATTTGCTGTGTTCTGGAAGATCTGTCTGTGACTGTTCTTGAAGTGATTTTCAAAAGTGTGAGAGCTTTTGTGAGAAGCTGTAACGGGACAATAAGATTTTTATAGCACTTGGGTGACTTAAAAATTTTAATTTTTGTAGGAGTAGTATTTGAACCATTTAATTAACGAGGTGAATCTAACTGCAGATCTCAGAGAAACAGTTGTCACTGTGAGAAAATGTACATGACTATATCTTAAGTAGAAAGACACTGAAACGAATCACCTATATTTCTTTGTTTATATCAATATGGAATGTTTTTGAGACACTGTTCAGTAGCAAGAAGTGCATTATCTTCTTGACGCTGTGTGACTGGCGTAGTTGCAAAATGACTCACAGAAGTGTAATCTCTGTTTTTGTGTTTGTTTTTATTTAAGCAGAAATATTATGAATCAAATAAGGTTCTTTACACTTGCACATCAAGAGGAAGGAAGTGTTAAAGAAGAACCAGTTTCAGAAATTCGAACCAGACCAACCTATCAGTTTGACTGGGCATTAAATAGAGTGGATAACTCTGTCAGAAAAACTGGCCGCATTCCTAAATCTCTTCTACTAAAAATCTTCCAGGAAATAAGCAAAGCAGGTAAGTTTAAAGCTGCTGTATAATGACTCAGCAAACCAAGGAAATGAACTGAAGGAATTCTAATTTATTTTTTGTCTTCAAACGTTGTTTAATCTGCTGCATATGTTGATGGACAGTCTTTAAATACTTCAGAGATGTTTTTGGCTTTGAATGCATGTTTGCTTTTCCAAGATTTTTTTTCTTTTGTAAAAATGCAGTGTACTTTTAATAAATGTTAACATATTGCCTTGCTTATTGTGGATTTTTTTTATCTGGTAATGTTGCATCTTCCTTATATAACTGTATTGTGCTCTCTGAACAGGGATCATATCTATCTGGTTTACACACTATATTTTTAAAGTGACTGTAGTGAACCATGCTGTCCTTAACACATTATGTGTTTTAAAACGGAATTACGGCAGGGAAATATGTAGGTGATCCCCAAGTTTCCACATTACCAGGTAACTGTGGTTATTCATGACAAGAAAGCTTTATTTTTTTTTAATTAAACGAAAACAGGTAGCTGAGGCATTGTTCATTCTGACAGATTCCAAACCTCTTTGGCTAAAGTAGCCAGACCACATTAGTATTTTGCAAACCAGCTGCCACAACTGATGAGGTTTGGTACCAGTTAGGATGAGTCAATGGAGATATTTGCTGAAGATACTCATTAAGTGCTACTGTCAATATTTATCAATGACAGCATGTATTTTTTTTAAGTTTAAACTTTGCTGTGTATTGCTCTGGACTGTAATGGCTTGTATAGCTGGGATTGTGCTTTTAAAAGCTTTGCATTTCACTGTTTAAAAGCAGAGTCTTTAATTCACACTCTTTAGGTTGAACTTTTTAGTTTTTCTTTTTGCATGTGATATCCTTTCTGATCTTGATTACTTTGGTTTTTTAGATATAAACTTTTAAGCTTTGCTTCTGGGTTTGCAAGAATTTTATGTCTCTAAACTTCTCTGCAAATAGTTCTTCATGAACCTTGACTCGTTACACAGTTTTTAGGAAGTCATATTAACAGAAACATTAATTGTTCGTAGTGGTTTCCTTTGGCTTTTTAACGGTATTTAAAAATAGAAGCATAGAACCTCACAAGACATTTAACTAGGATGCTGTTAGAATAAATGGCAAATATTTCCATATGAAAATTTAGTCCTTTTTTATGAACAATAATGAAACTAATTTAGCAGAAGTGTGGGAGGTTAGTGTTGATTTCTGCCTGTGTTTGTATTGTTCTTCCATTTCTAATTACAACTAAAAAAATGCCTGAAGAAGGTGCTTGCAGTGAATCTCTTGTCCTGCATCTTTCCATACGCATACTGCCAAACCTTTTCTGTCTTCTTTTGTCTTCAAGGTACTCTGTCACTAGTTGTAACATTGGCATTATGACACTGGAGATGTGTTGGCATTTTCGTTGCAGGAAGTAATTGTATGCAGGGATTTAAAAGTTAGTCAAGTATGACTTGGTGATCATACTTTACAGTATGCTGCTTTCTAAAGAAACTCTCATTTTTATTAGAAATTGCTGAGTTTAGATATAAAGATGTGATTAGAAAAAAAATGTGTCTCCAGCTTATTGAGTAAACTGTGATAGATTCTGAGGTTCTGCCTTAATTTGCCTCAGGAGCAGTAGTGAAGTCCAAGAAAGAGATGAGGTTATAGTTACTTTTTCAACATCTGGTACTAGTGCAGGAGTCAGAAAAGGTGCATAATCTTGCATTTTCCTTGACTATTCTCTAGATGTAAATGATCTCATTTATTTTATATTGAGCATGGACAGAAGTGGAAATGGAGGTTTATATTTACTCCAACTACCAGTTTTGGAATAGTATTGAATTGGTCTGAAGTATTTTGACAGTTTAGAAATTTATGAGAAAGTTACACCCCTGTTAGGATGAAACGATCTAAGGATCTCGAGTTGGGAAATTGAAAGTACTAGATAATCTGAGTTTAGGGCTTTGTGTTGTACTTCTTAAAATTTCTGCTCAGCTGAGCTCATTATTGTACTAAATGACATGTTTTATCACAAATCTTTTTCTTGATAGTGCACAGTAGTGTCATTGTTTAATCATTTGGGTATCCTGTTCAGTAAAAACCTTCAGTCTTGAGAAAATTGCATTCTGTAGAAAATGCTTAAATATTTCAGTAGGTCGGTCTCAAATCTTCTTTCTGATATTGAATGTATAGTTATTCATGAAGAAATTTGTGGTTTTGTTCCACTTGCAGGATCTCCAGGAAGTAACCAGACCCTGCTTTTGTTGCGAAGTTGTGGTGCTCTCTTACCAGAGGTGTCGTCACCTGAAAGAACAGAACTAGCCCATATGATATGGGACAAGATGAAAGAACTGGGTATGTTGGGTTTGTTAGTTCTGCTTGCAAGAGCAGCAAGGACTTTTTCTGTAATAAAGACAATGTATTTTAATAGTGTTTAAATGTTAGGTTGTACTTTTCACGGAATAAGCAGTAGATTTTATTATTCGGGTGAGTTTCTAATTCTGGAGGTTATACTGACATCTAGGGGTGTTAATAAAAAAATCCAAAGTTTTGGGTTTTTTTTTTGCAAGATGCTTAAATTGGACTTTTGCTTGATTTGCATTATTGTATTTTACTTTTCTGCTAGATGTTACCTTGATGATGGGCTGAGTATTCTTAGTGTTACCACGTATTTTGTCAGATGATGTTTTTATTTTAAGCAAGTCATTTATCTATAGATAATGCATAGATGAACTGCTTTGTGATAGTAATGCTGAATCTGTGAAATAAATACAGATGTAGAGACTATGGGATAGCATGCACATGAGCATGGGCAGTGCTCTTGTTATGTTTTGTCCTTTTATAAACACATGTGTTGTTAAATAGATGTCTCATATTTGAAAGGTGAATAAAAGGAAGCAGTCTGATAAGTTCATACAGAGTAAAATTGGCATGAAATTAATTACCTGAGAAAGCTAAAAAACCATGTTGAATTTAGAGAACCTACATTCACTGACTGTGGTTGAAACATTTCCTTAGGTGCTGTGTATGATACAAGCCATTACAATGCCTTACTTAAGGTCTACCTTCAGAATGAGCACAAATTTTCTCCGACAGAATTCTTGGCCAGAATGGAGGAAGCAAATGTGCAACCCAATCGAGTAGGTTCCCTTTTATAATATCTTCATTCTTAATAGTAGTATCCACTTATTGGTTGGAAATCATTAACTTCACCTTTTTGTTTTCTGTAGGTTACATACCAGAGGTTGATTGCTGCTTATTGCAATGAGGGTGACATTGAAGGAGCGAGGTATTCTTTTAGATTTATGTTTAAAGGGATTTCCACAAAATCTGTTTCTCATATTCCCTGCCAATAATCTTGAAACTCGTTTCTGTGTAATTCATAGAAATTGAGCCAAGTGAAGAAGAGGTTTAAGTATATTTTTTAACCAAGCAATGCGGGGCAATTTCCTGGAGTCTGCTGAAATCTACACAAAGCAAAATAAAAATGAGTGGTAGATCAGTGTGTTCAAGTTGTATTCACCTCGCTCAGAACTTGTTTTGTCATTTCTAAAGCCACCGTGAAAAAGTATGAGGCTATGAAGGCTTACTCCCTTTGTAAGAAAATGGCTACTGGGGAAAGGCATTTGAGAACAAAGTGGGCTGAGGAGCAAACAGTAGTAATTCTGTCTGTTGTTGTTACACAGGGGTTGCTGGACATCTGTCTAACATTTTAATTTTAGCAAGGTTAAGTTGCAACAGTGTAATTCTGGGGTGTGAGAAATAAGTAAAAGGAAGATAAAAGTACAGGCAAGATAAAAAAAGATACCCTTCTGTCTGCATATTTAAAAGTGGCAAATACAAATGCATATTAAAAAAATTAAAATTACCTAATTATAAGCATATTGTGCAGCATCCCAAAATTTAATTGCTCAGTAACATCAGGATTTGTGGTTTTTTAATGAGTTTTTTTTTTAGTGGTTTTTTTTTTTGTCCAGCAGAGCAGCAGTGTTTATCTTTTCAAAACAAAAATACCCATTGATTGTCTTATATTTTGCAGTAAGATTCTTGGATTTATGAAGAACAAAGATCTTCCAATCACTGAGGCAGTATTCAGTAGCCTTGTGAAAGGTCATGCAAGAGCAGGGTAATGTTTAATACCTTTTTTTCTTTCAATTACTTTAGCTTTACTAAAATATAGAGTGATACTGTACAGAAAAATTACATGCTGCAGAATAGGGTGATGGTTTTGAATGATAATATATAGAAGACTGTCTCTTTATACATTTTTGAAGCAAAACAGAGCTATTTAACAAAGTAGTTTTTTTTCTTGTGTCTGAAAATCTTGAATTTCAAGATAAATTACTGTACTTTTGTAGCGTTTGAAAAAAAATTGCTGCACTTAGTTCTGAACTTTATCATCTATTAAAGTTAAAAGAGTATTTTAAGTAATACAATAATTAAAAGACTTTCACCTTTTGGGATTTGCTTAGTTAAAATAAGTTTCTCTAAGCTTGTTGCAGTCTTTGTTTCCAGTTCTAATTAATTAAATGGGTAAATGTGGAAGTTGCAAGAAATATTTTGATTAAATATACTGAGGGTCTTTCTTTGAATTCTTCTAGAGATATGAAGAGTGCAGAAAACATCCTTTCAGTGATGAGGATGGCTGGTGTTGAACCAGGTGCAGATACCTATTTATCACTGCTGAATGTGTATGCTGAAAAGGGTGATGCTGATAGCATCAAAAAGGTATGGCAAGTTCAAGTTTAAATACAACTTGTTTGATCTTTTGTTCAGTATAGCTTTGGAATGCTTTCTATTCATGCAGGAGGAATAATAAAGAATTATTGCAGTAATTAACAATTTTATTTTTTTAATTGCATCTGAATAGCTGGTTAACTGAAAGCAAGCTCATAATTTCTTTAAAATACTTGTCTTTTGATAGTGGTGCTTCATTCTGAGAAGATAGATTTGTCAGTGAATGATTTAAAATTTAGGGATTTTTTTAAAGACAAATAGTGCATGTGAGGTATTTATGTGTTTATTTATGAAAATAAAAACTAAACCTCCATTATTTTGTTTCCATTGAGCCATTCTTTGGCTGCCATTGAAGCCAGAGGATCTTTCTGGTAAAAAATAATTTTTTTTGAGAGTTCATACCAACAGCTTAGGTATTAATGAGGCCGCTTTGCAGTCCTTTATGTAACTGCAAGCTGATTTTTTTCAAGTATCCTCTCTTACATTTTTTAAATCAAAGAAATATTGGGAAAAAAATGAGAAAAGAAAATTGGTTTGATCTTAATTAGCAGTATCACAAGTTTAATAAGTAGTATCAGATGTAGAGGACCAAATCAAGGAAGAGGATGTGGGAAACATAATTTTGTTCTGTGAGTTAAAAATTAAACAAATCTTTATCAACCATCATTCTTTCAAAAAAGGTTTGACTAGTTATTCTTCCCTTTACAAAGTAATTTCTTTTGAAAATCATCTCACAATGGGAATACCTGTGCTGTTTTCATATATTATTAGATATTAGAGAGAAACTATCTATTATATCCCTTTTAGCTGTCCCTCTTTCTTTTTACGGTCTAAAGGTGTTTGGGACTCTCTCAGTACTTCTTGGGTATTCTTTCTTTCTCTCTTTATACCATGTTCTGCTTATCTAAACCTGTATTTTTTTAAAAAAAGAAAAAACACAGCTTTTTGTTTGGTTGGTTTTTTTATTTAATTTTATTTTTGTTCTTAAATGTGTTCTGTTTGGAGTCACTTTGGAGTTGACTGAAGTTAAGTATACTTTGGTTTACAGACTCTAGAAGAGGTTGAGAAGACTGAAGGGTACCTTATGGATAGAATTTTGATGCAGGTGATTTTTAGCCTTGCCAAAGCTGGATATCCACAGTACATCGAGGAGATTAAACAACGCATAAAATTTGAAAGGGAATTAATTCCAGGTATGTCCTTGGTTCCTGTAACAGGCTGGAGGGGGAAAGCTGTTTTTCTTTTTTTTTGTTCAAAAATAGGTAATTTTGCACTTTTCTCTTGAATACTGAGGCAAAAAAATATTTTTTCTGTTAGTTTGTGGATTCGTTTGTGCTGTTTAAGATTACGTTTTATAAAATTTAAATATAAACCAACATTAATCATTTGGATATAAAAATTAATCTTTGGGTTTTTTTTAACTGCTAAAATTCATTAGGATTTTATAGGAAAGCAGCAAGTGTGGAGTCCTTTCTTCAACCACCACTGTTAAAATTCCTGTTGTGAGAGCTCTTTGTGAGTGACACAAAAAAGGGATACTAAATACTGAATATAGTTTTTTATTATCTACATTGGAAATCACTTTTCTATCACAGTATGTGTGATCTGATTGATAACTGTTAATTATAGTTCATCCATTTTTTCTTTTTTTTTTGACGTGTCTAGAAATGTGTTTCTCTTACTTAGTTTCTTTCTGTCATGCTGCAGTGGTGATACTTCTGTACTTTTCATTATAGTCTTCTAATGAGAAAGGTGAATTTAATTAACAAATCCGAAGAATTCTGGAAGAGGTAGTCTCAAATTTGATTGTTTAATCATGTTTAAAAGTATGTTAATGGTACTTGTCAAACATTTGCTGTACTAGCTTTCACTAATTTTAGTAGTTTGATGAGAAATTGTTATGTGTGCTTTTTAAATTTTGTTGTTCTGTTTTTCAATGGCTAGATGCAATGAACCTGTGTTTGACTCTGATAACTCATGGCTTTGAAGATATAAGCTTCAGTATTTTGAAGTCTTTTAGTCATTTATCACGTGATAATATGGACCAGGGTAGCTTCTTCTTGCAACATTGTGTAAATAGAGATATGGTAAGCAGAATAGTAATACTTTTTTTTTAATCTACTAATAACAGTGTATTTATTTAATTTAATGCAACTACGAAGATTTTTTGCACAGTTCTTCAAGAGCAAAAGAATAATTTTATTATTTCATATCAACTTGCATAGTAAATTGATTTTTACGAAGGAATTATGTTTGGCATGTGCAATATCCATTTTCTAAACATTAGAAGAATCTGATGTTCTTAGCAATTTGAGAAATTGAAAAATATATGAAATAAATTTTTGAAATTCTTTGCAGCCTGTGAAAAAGCTGAAGCAATTCTGTAATGAGTTAAAAGAAGCGAAAATGCACTCGGCACCATTACCATTTATTTTGCGTTGTGCTTTGGAGGCCAACAAATCAGGTACTCTGCTTATTTAGTTTATTTTACATATGCTTATGTAGACTACTTGGACACTGTTTAATTATTTTGTGCATGTTTTCAGCCTTGGCCATTGATGTGATGAAGATGATGAAAGCGGAAGGCTTGCCACTCAGACCTCACTATTCCTGGCCACTGCTAGTTCGGCATCAGAAAGAGAAGAATCTTAAAGGTGAGTTGTCTGATAAATGCTCCTGTAGCATTATTGCAAACCTAGTGCACAAATCTTTATTACAGCACTTGCATGAGATTCATCAGACTCTTGAAATTAAACGAAGACTTTGCTGTGCCTGTCCTTGTTACAAACATTTTTTCCTTCAGAAAGACCTATTTTAAAACCTCTTTCTTAATCTTGATACAGTTCTACAAATTTCAAGTCTACCTTTGCACAGAAAGATGTGAGAGAGTGTTTAGTTATCTTTTTAACTCTTCACATTCTTTCTGCTTCCCACCAGTTCTTTTTGCTGCTTGTTACTTTTTAGAGTTTACTCTTGAAGAAACTGAAATCCAAGTGAAGAATTTAAAAGAAAGGTTAGTTTATAGTAGCTCTCTTGGACTGCAAACCCAGTCCATTTTTCAAGCCAGCTTCTTGTTATCTGCCTGCTAAACCAAACATGAGCTTCGTTACAATCATAAAAACTGCAGGAGAAAACTTCCATCGCTGAATGTGTGAGCCTGACCTGACAGCATACTGATTGAAGGACAAAAATGCTCAATCTTTGGGATTCTTAAGTAGGTTTAAGCATTTAGCATACTTTCCCCTGTTACACATGGGGATGTCTACAGGATATGAATAAGAATTGAACAAATATTAAATTTTAGAGTACAGTATCTAATTCTTTGGTTTGCGTTATTGGTAATTCAGAAAGAATGGTATTGTAAAAAGATGCTTTTAACAGAAGTACTTCCCCCTTGGGGAAACAAAAAACTGTCTTTTTCATCTTATCTCACAGTATAATGTGCTTTAGAATGAGATGCAGAGTTGTTAGTGTGACACTGGGTGACAAACAAAATGCACAAACAAAAAAAAAGTGCTTTTAGCAGACTCTTCATATCGCAATTTTATCTTAAATATACAGTCACATTCCAGTTTGGAAGAAATGCTGAAACAAGTATTCCCTAATTGTTTCTGGCTATAAAAATGTCTCAAGTCTTTTTCAAAAAGCCTTTGTGAAAACAATATTCAGTTTTTATTAACTCCTTAGGCTCTGTTCCTGCTAGACTACTTCCCAGTTTTATATTCTCCCAGGTTTTCAAATCCTTGAAAGTTCTGTGATATTTTAAAAGTGTGGCAATGTCGTTTTAGTTGAGTCCTTTGTGACTTACTTGAAGTACAACGTTGCCAAAAATAAGTAAATTGAAATTGGTGTTATACTTTTCTGTGTGGATGCTGCCTACTGAAAAAATGTGCTTTCTGTTACTCCATGGTAAATTTCAGCTCACTAACACACTTCTAAAAGACATTGGAAGTGTTTTTAGATTTAAACTTAGCTCCCAAAATTGAAGCAATATTTGAGTGTCAAGAGAAACTTAGGTTTTCTATTTCTTTTAGTCTTTGTCAAGATCAGAAGTTGCCTTAATTTGGACTCCTAGTGTAGATATCAACTATGCTTTGGGTAGTAGTTCCTGCTGGAAGTCATGTAAGCAAGTTGAGAAGAAAACTGATGAAGGAACCCTCAATTCTAGCATTTTTAGCCATTTTCTGTAGAGCCTTTTTTTTTCTGTCTGCAAAGGCATTGCATACATATACTTCTGTATAGCTGTAAGATAATACTGTGGATTTGCAAACTCATTTTTGTATCCTGGTGCTTAGTGTCCAAGTTTATACTGTCAAGTGGAAGCGTTACTGCTTTGTGCATACCTACACAAGTGATTTTTCGATTTTTAAAATACATTAGGTAAGAACATATCTAGTCAATTGCTTCTGTAGTGAAAGATCAGCGTAACTCTTCTTGCTCAACAGTGAAACAAGTTGTCTTCTTTCCCATGTGGAGGCTTGCATTCAGTTTTTTAAAGTTAATAATAAAAAAAAGAATGAGATCCAATATCTAAAAATAGAAGCAATACGCTTGAAGAAAAGTAAATAGGGAAAAAAGAAGCCATCCACCCTGAAATTGTGTCATAGAAATAACAGACCAAGCAATAATACTGCAGTGAGAACCTAAAGGTGACAGTACATAGTAAATTACAGAATGGTGCTTTCTAGCAGCAGTAATAGAGCTGAGTGAACAGAAGTATGGACACTGTATCACATCCCATACCACAAGTGAGGTAATAATTAATTTCTCAACAAAGAAGTAATGCCCAGCCTATTGTGTTTGATTTTGTGTCTTGCTATAGGTAAGGCTGGAAATGGAAAATAACTTTGAGGAAAAACTATTAAAAATCTGATAGGATGTAGACAGTGGACTAAATAATCATTAAAGAACACAGAATATAAACAAAAACCTATTTAGAACTGCAGTGTAGGAATGTCTGAATTGGTCACACATATAGTGTGACCCAAACAATTGTACAATCAGTAGCAATGTTTAATTACACACTTCTCTAACGTTTGTTATAGAAAAACCTGACACTCAATATCAAGTGAAATTCTGCAATTTCTGTATTCTGGAATCATATTTGAACAAAAGTTAGCAAGGAAGCGGTGGTTAAGAGGAATGAAACTAAATAGGGCCATTTTTATATGAACCTTAGACAACCTAACTACCCTAAACAGCAAACAGTTCTTTTCAGTCATTTTGCCAGGCAAATAATTTCAGGTGGGGCATTTCCTTTATTGTGCATCCATTATATAAGTTAAAAAATACTTATTTTCTTACTATTTATTAGACTTCTAGGAGTGGAAAGAGCTTGCAGGGTTTCAAAGATCAATATGTGGTGAATGTGAAACTGTTACTGGCACTGAAGGTGATCTCGTATCAAGTTATGCACTAAGGAGGGCCTAGTGTAAATAAGCAGAAATATTTGACTTATGCTTGTTACTGAATATTTTATACCTCTCCTTCATCTTTGAATGATCATGTTATGTTTAAAGACAGTTTTTAAAAGTCAGTTGTGTATTTTACTTTTGGGTTCTACTAAACTATTGTTATATACAAACAGCACGGTTAGTGAATGGTAATTTACTTTGGAAAATAAGACTCTGCGTCCAGAGGGGAATAAGGATAGCAATTGCTCAAAGTAACTGCTTGAAATACTGTTTTATAGACAGATTTTTCTGACAAAGAACATTCTGAGTGCATCTGAAATTACCAGCACAGCAAAAGTTTATGAAATACTATGTTTTCCTGAACGTGACATCACTTTTCGAACTGGAGTTTTGTTTTTTTGTTTCTTTAGAAAAATGCTTAAAGCCAAATTTTACTGCCCTTGCACATGTAGGACTGTACATAACTGCCTTAGAAATTCCTCCTGTTCTTATGGGACTGCTTTAGGGAGGAGGCATGACTTAACTGTGAAAAACTTAGGAAATGAAAGGTGGACTAAAATGCAAGCCTCACTTTTCAGTTTTGGAAACATTGTGACAATCTCATAGCTCATCTCTTCTATATTTGTTCTCCATTATACTGATTTGAGGTTGGAATCTGTTCTGTTGGGGTGTTTGAGTGCTTTCAATATTGACAGAAAGAAGAACAGAAGTTTGGCTGTGTTTGGTTCCCTATTTCTGTCTTTCCACCTATTCATTTATTTGATTCTGTATACTCAGCTCCTGTGTCCTTTCATGCATCAGCTCAAGATCTCAAAAAATCTGTTCTTGATCAAGCAGGAGAGTTGACTGTGGGTTTTAGTCATGCCCAGTCTTCTGGATCAGTAGTCTCTGAAGTGGGGTGTGCAAGATAATCCATTGGGCTGTTAGCAGGCTGTTAATAAATAAATATTTTATCCTTTTTTTATGTTCTATTTTTGGGTATGTTTTATAATGCCCATAATATAGCAGTACAGTGGTACATGTGTATAATTTCTAAATCAATATGCATGTATTTGGTGATGTTCTCAAAAACATTTGTGAGACCAATGTTCTAGACGAACATGACTACACTTCTGTGTCTGTCTTTTCTAGTCTGTTCTTTGGCTTAAAGAGAGAGAAGAGGTTAGTGTATTTTCCAGCATGAGAAGCAAAGAATTTCTGAAAGTCCACACACATAATGCTCAAATCCTTTTTCATGCATGCATTTGAGAATTTTATAGAATTTTAATTGAAATGAAAGTGCTTCATTGCTTTGTATTGTGGAAGGTATTTATTTGAATTTAAAGTAGTTCTGCTCTCAGTGAGGTAGAAAATGCATGCAAAATTGTGTTGGTTTTCATTAATCTTCTGTCCCCTCAAAATCGTACATCAGCCACCTTAAAAAAAAAAAAAGGCTGCCACACATACCTTCATTTTAAGTTTGCAATTAGTTTGGTTATGTGCGTTATTGTTATGGTATTCCTCCTTAATCTGCTGCTCGCTGTTGTGCTGGTGTTCCATTCCTCATACATGCCCTTTCCTGCTCAGGAGCTGTGCCCTGCTCTATCTACTAGGGAATGAGGATGCTTAACAAGCCTGTTTTCTATTCTTGGTCTGGATACATGTTTGAACTCAAACCTTCCTAGTTTACCACACCTTATTCGCTATGGGGTGTAGTTCTTGGTCTCCAAACTACTTTTTAGTGATACAGATACAGTTATTTTTGCAAAGGTTTGAGCATAAGAGGACTTGATGTATTTTTTGGGAAGTTGAAAACATGAAATAGAAACCAGCTGTCAACATTAGAAAGGTATCAAGAAGTACTAAGTGTAATTATTTCTTTATTCATATTTTTGCAGATTCTGGTCCAAAATCAGAGTTTTGTTTAAGGCAAACTTGAACAGATGATGCGACTTTAATCTAGTGTGACTTGCCTGCATGTATTTTCAAGTGCTCAAAGGGAATTCACATTTGATTATTTGCACCATAGTGCACTCCATAAAATATTCATGGAAGTGTCACTTTTCCATAGGTGGCACTCCAGGGCAAAGACAGGGACTTTGGACATCTTTAAAGTAATAAGTATGAAATGCAAGTTGAAAAAAACATATGCTGTTTGGTACTGGTGTCCTGCAGCAACTGACAAATCATTTTTAGACCAGCAAAAACCGATTATACCTGTATTGGTTTTGACAGGGGTGCAGAGTTTGCTAACTAAGGTTACTGTAAGAAGTTTCTGCAAATCGGAAGAGTGTGAGCAATTAAAAAGAATGACACATACTCTAAAACCACACTCTAGTTGCTGGACTATTACTATTTGGTATCTGTTCTCTTCAGATGCATATCTAGAGAAGTGATATACAGTCCAGTTGCGCAAAATGACCTGAACCCTGTAAAAGTTACTTGGGAGACTCCAGCCTTTTTCTGAATTTCCAGTTTGAAGTTGATGTGTTGATAGAGTAATCAACCTATTTGATTACAAACATGTTATTAATTTTAAACAAATCAGAGACAAATCTTAAATGCTTGCCTTGCTAATCAGGGTTGGATACTGGGAACAAAGCTAAGAATGTATGATGTATTGAAGAATGTGTTTGTATCTTGAATTTGATTGTGTACTTTACATCGTATTTCAGATTTGTTTTTTGTGCACAGTATTATGGACATTTTGATATATAGCTCTAAAAGGTGTTTTGTGAACATGAAAACTCATATATTCACGGTGTTAGAAAACAACTTTGTATACTAGCAATTTCCAAACTGAACTTTCATGTTTTTTATAGTACAGCACTAAACAGGAAGTTTAGTAAATCTATTTTAAATTTCACAATTAAGAATTCTGTTAACATCTAAAATAAAAATGTAGGATTTTTCATGGCAATTTCAAGGAGGGAAATTGAGGAGACAGTTCCTTTTTTTTGTAAAGCAGCATTTATTTTTAAATGTTGATTCTTAAGTTTTCATTTTTATGAAGTGCTTAGCCTTACCAATTTTGCCTTCATATAGGTGTCTTTGAGATCCTCAAACTGATGCACGAGTTGGGTGTGGAACTTGATGCAGAAACATACACAGACTATGTTTTTAAAAATTTTGCTGATAGAGAAACTGCTCGTGCCCAGCTGAAGGTGAGTTTACATTTAAAAATTGTAAAAGTGACTATTGCATGGCTTATTATTCTGTGTTCTCTGTGGAGGCTTTAGGTCACAGTAGCACTCTAAACATGAACCTGGTATGATGAAGCCTGGTCAGAATATTTAGATTACTTTTCAAACAGTCGTTGCACTGATTCGGATTGTTTACCATGTCTTTCTCCTGCTGCTTTTCTTTTTCTTCTTTAGAGCTAACCAAAATATTTTGCTCCAGACCTAGTAGCTTTCTGTTTCCTGAAGTGGAAAGCTAAATAAATGATAATGCCCTTTTTTTTAAACTGGGGATTGGAAGTATTACAATTGTTTCTGGTGGATGTTTTTTTTTATTTGCTGAAGAATTGAGAATTGCAGACATAGTTTAAGTGTCCTAGTCTTTCTGCCTTTGATAACTTTGTCTCTTGCAGTTGATTTTAATACAAAATATTGATCAGTAGCAACTTATTTGGCCAGCCATGTAGACTTCTGTAGTGCACCTTCTCAACAGCTATCAGTACAAGAATGCTAATGTCCTTCGGGAAGAAAGCATTTAAAATGCAAAGTATCAAAACGTCTTATCTGTGTGAAGTTCCAATGATTGATTGCTTTTTCTCTAGAAAAATGGCTGCCTATTTGAAGGTGTTGGACTCCATGTAGCAGAAATAAGATGTGAAGCAGCAAATGGAAGATTGGACAATGTTCTTTCTATATGTAAGTATATCTCATGTTGCATGTTACTTTGTACTTGGCAGCAGTGTTGATTGGTTGTAGGCTAAGAGATTTACTTGCATTAGTATATGAGGTTTAAAGATACGTGGGAAATGAGCAAAGTTTTCCTCTATGATGAGATGTCAGACCATTTAAAACTACCACTTCTGAACAATGCATCATGGTTAAAATCTTCTGTGGTATTGAACCTGGCCACAAGATTTACCTGTAGGTTATTTGCAAATAATATCTTTACTGTGCTTGTGATAGGAGCATCACACTCTTGTACTTGGAGAGGTTAAGGAAACGGTTTGTTTTGCACAATGACTGTTAAGTGGTTAGTGCTGGGACTGCATTTGTTTGCTGCATCAATTACAACAGAATGCTGGTCTAACGATATGGCTCTGAACTACTACAGAATTATAATGAAAGAACCAGCTTTAAAGAACTGATTGGCACTGACACTAACCCAGGGGTGTTCTGCTGATCTGCTGGTCATGGAAGTTCTGTGTGTAAATGTGATTGGTTAATTAGGGGTTGAAGTTGTAGCAGCATGTTTAAGACTGTTGTGATTCTCAGCGCTTGCAAAAGTTAATTTATGTCATCAACTGAATGTATGGCATGGGATAATTTACTTGGTTAAGTAGGAATATATGATTCGCTTCAAAATTTAAATAATACAGTTTTTATTTGCCTTGTGTACTGAGATGTTAATAAAACATCTAAATTTGGGCTAAATTCTGATAGAGAAGGATCTCTTTGTAAACAACAGTTTTATGTGTCAAGGCTCAGGGAAAAGCTTAAGCAGTCTTTTGCTGCAGTTGACATGAACTGTTATATTTAACAAATATAGAAATAAGTAGTCTATACACCATGATTCTGCGAAGCCATTGTGTTGCAAATGAAAAAGTTGAGTAGTTACTAATCAGTGATTTAATTTTGATATTGGAGATTTATTGATTAGTGCATCTTTAACATTCACCTTACATTTTGCCGCTATTTTTTTTAATTACAAAACAAAAAGCATAAACCCAACCATTGACCATAAAAAAATTGAGCACCTAAAAGTAACTTGGAATTTTATTTTAAAGGACAACTTTATTAAGAGCAATGAGATTTCTTCCGGAAGCTGAAACAGTTTGAGATTTGGTTTTTTTCCTGAAAAAGTAGACCCACCACTGCACACTCATTTTGGTTTACTGAAATAGTCAGGTTTTGATGTGTTCTAAGACAAATACCTGGTATAGGGTAAATATATATGATATCAAAAGTACGATACAGGCTACTTTGCTACTACTACATATAGTAGTGTGCATTCTGTCTTACTGTCATGAAGTTCGTATCACAGAATATGTTATTTAGCTATCGTCTGTGAGTTGAATTTAAATCTTGTAGTGGTATTTCTGTTTACAAAGACTAGGGTTAATAATTCATGAAGACGTATCAAATTTCTTTGAACTTGGGCTTTAAAGGAAGGTACTCCGTAAATAGTTTACCAAGCTGAAATGAATGCTAGTAAATCTAATTAGCACCTATGTGATGATAAGGCACAGATATTAAACAGCTGATTTTTTGTTTGGTGTGGTTTTTTGGTTTTTTTTTACTTCTCTCCTTTTGCAGTATTACAAAGAGGGAAAAATAGATGCAGCATAGAAAATAGTTTGAGATTGTCTCATCAGTGTAGTCAGGAGACGAAGGCTGGTTATTAATGCTGGCTGCTATCTAGGTGTATTGATTCAGCTTCTCATGCCCTATAATGTATAGATTTCTGCTACTGACAAGATGAAAACTGTGAAGCATCAGCTGAGGAATCTGGACGCATAAGGCAGCGTACATGAGAGCCGCTTTTTCCCTTTATCATACCATTCCATTCCACTTCATTGTCAGCCCCTTGATTTTCTCAGACTTGTTTGTTGCTAAGGAAACCAGGTTGCCGATTGTCAGCAGCAGCTGAGCATACTAAGATGCTTTTCTGCTTGTCTTTTTACGAGCAAAAAGTTTAATATACTGGATGGGAATTTCTGCTGAAGGTGTCTTGAAACCAACTTTACCTGAGATTTTCAAGCAAAATAAATGTTCCAATGTTTAAAACTTTTGATTTTCTACATGTCTGGAGTTAGACTAAGGAAGTGGTTTTAGCATGTCGTTCCTGCCTTTTACTTTCCGTGTTTCTTTAGAGCTGGTGCTTTTATTTTGGTTCTCTCCTACCGTGTACGATATTGCAGCCCTTGCTGAAATGGCCCTGTGCATTCAGGTTTTTACAGCAGTTAATTCCATTGTGATGCTGAAGTGAGATGATAATAACTTCATAGAGGACATAAATGCACCTACTACTGTATTTTTTTTCTTTGCTTGTCTAAAGTGCTGGAAGGAGAGACAGCAATTCTAGAGGAAGAAGGTAGAATGATTTGGAATATTTAGCCAAGAAGTGATGTAAAGATGAGGACATAAGGCATAACTGTAAATGACCTCTCAGGGACATCTAATTTTAATTGATTTTGCAGTTTCCTATGTGTTCAAATATTACTGTAAATATTAACATTTAGAACTGTGTATTTTTCTCTTTTTATCCCCTTAGGTGTAATTTATTTCAGTGGATAGCACTTTAAATGGAACTACTTTTTCTTTCTTGTCAGGCCATTTACACTAGCAGAAGCAAACATCTAAGAAAGTGTTGTGCCATTGTTTTTGGTTTGGTGGATTGTTTTTTTTGTTATTGTTTTTTTGGTGGTATTTTATTATTTAAAAAAATAGAAGGCAAAATTGTGAAACCTATGTTAAGGCAGGTATTCAGTCTGAAACAATTAACAAACCATTTACCTCCAGTGGATCTTTTTTTGCTCCAGCACTAATATCCCAAGTTTTCTTCGTTAGGATTGTTTGAGGTTTGTTTTGCTTTTTGGAATTGGTCTTCTCGTTTTTTGCAGATAAAGATGCTTAGCTCAGTAAATAATTCATATAAAACATAATGTATTAACTATGGATTTTTTTTACGATGACTATTAAGAAACATTTCTTTCATTTACAGTGTCTTCAGCAAGCACACCTCCTGTTGATTGTCGTCTGTTTAGAAACAGTCTCATCTTGGGTTTCAAAAGGTAAGGTTGCTATGTGAATACCTTTTTTTTTGTTGTTGTTGTCTCCCTGTAACAAAATTCCCTCTCTTTTTTGTCTAGTTGAGCACAAGTCTGTTTGGTCTTTTGGCCCCCACTCCATGTTTGAAAATTTATAAGTAGCATTCCAGAAGTAGCTGGGGGATATTGTTGTTTCTCCCTGCTTTCCTCATTTTCCTCGCCTCTGCTATATATGAGCATACATTTAAAGCATTATCTATAGTAGATTAAAAGGAACTTCACTTTTCTTGTTTGTTCTGTGATATTTGCCAGTATATAAACATTTGGGAGTTTATTCACTTTTTTGTTTATAAACAGCTATGCTAATCTGAGATTTCCCTAAAGATTATCACTATTAAGCAGTAAAGTAATGGGTCACTTAATGAAGGCTAAATACCAGTAGGAGCCTAGCATATTCTGCTACATCAGCTATCTTTCTGTGCCCTCTGGGTTAATATGACTCATGAATGCTCACATGTAACACCTGGTCTTGTGCTACGTTGCCAGGACTTCATATTCACAACCATATGGTCCCATTTTGCAAGGAGGGTTCCTTGCTAACTTGCAAGGTTGTCTTAAGCTTATGCAAGTACATGTGAATTAGCAAGTGTTTCTATCATGCACTGGGGCATTTGCCCCAGTCAGACATTTGGGACTGTGAATAAGTTTTTTTCAGCATACCTACACCATGGGGAAACAGGGAGGTAACTTATTACTACTCAGGACCAGGGTTTGAAGGCTGATTTTGTTCACTAAGTTATTTTCTAAAAGTTTGCGATCAGTATGAGTTAGAACTATGTTTAGGTTGGATAATAGTAAAACATAATAGGTGAACATGATCAAAATAATTTCCTAGTAAATTGCATGTTCTATCTAGCTGATCCTGCTCTACTGTGGGAAAAGGAGAGGAAAAAGCAAACCAGTGTTGAAATTTGGTTTGTTAACTAGGCCCTAGCTGACCTTGACATCCGAGGGATAAGTAAAAAAACGTGTTAGGTGCAACAGGGGTATTTTGCTATTCCTTCTAGCAGTCAGTCCCAGAATCATCCGTTTCAGATGTTTCAAAAATCTGTTACTTTACTTAATACACATTTTCTTTCTGTAAGTATAGGTATACAACTGAAGCAGTTTTTGCACTGGAAAGGAAACCATGGCAATATTTACCACACACAGCCAACCCTAGCGTGAAATACCCCTTCCACTGGGGAACTGTACAGGTGTTCAGAATCTTGGAAATGTTGCCATCTTGCTAGGAAACTAGTTGCTAAAAGTCACAGTCTTCTCAAGTGAAACATTTACTCCCCTCATCATGGACACAGTTCCTACTAGTGTGATTTCAATAGTTATTGGGCATCTGGGCTAAAATCTCAGAATTCTGACAGAAATAGAGGTTGAGGGTGTTTTGGTGGGATTTTTTTTTTTTTTTTGGGTAGTTTTTTCCTTTTTACTCAAGCTTTCCTTGCCACTTTTAAGTGTGGCATAAGTTTTGGTTTATTCCTGTAATATTCCTCTTTTGTGAGCCTTTATTGCTGCCTAGCTTCAAAAGCTATGTACAAAGTTGACTCTCCCCAAATTTCACCCATATGCTCTTTCTGAAAGCATGGCAACTCATGTTTCATTTCATGTTTTAAACCTAATGCTGCTTTTAAACTAGAACAACCTGAACGTGAAACCTGAGGATATGATAGGATAGAAGAGAAGAATATTTGTACCTTTTGTAAAAGCCACAGCAAAACTTTATGGCTAAACACAGGTTTTGAGTGTTCAAATGAGCAGAGTTTAGGACTGGCGTACCAAAGTACAGGGTAGCGACACCAAGGACACATGAACAATGTCTGTGGCAGACTAGTTTATGGATTTCTGTTGAAGCTGCTCTTCTCTAGTAACTGCTTCAAAGTATTCCCATTCTGTTTGCCTGATGTACCATTACTATTTCAGAGTCAAGTACTTTAGGAAATTGATGCATTTGATATCTGCAGTTCATTGTCATGCTGTCAGTGGTGGAGTGAGTTCATCCAACGAAGCTTAACTAACCTCACAGATGACATTTTCTTCTCTCTTTTTCTGTTGGACCTACATTTGACTCATTTTCAAATACAAGTAGCAGTTGCACAAAAGGAATATATGTTTCAAAGGCTTGAACCTCCTAACTAAAATCCTAAACTTCTATGAATACTTTCAAGCTTCTGTGCATCTGTTCAGACTGACATCTTATTTTCCTCTTATGAGAATTATAGGAAGATAAAATCAGGTCATAAGGTTTTGTTCTCTTGTCTGTGTTAATGCTGTTTTATAGTTGCCAAAAAGTTGTAGTTCTTGAAAAGTTACAGCTTCTAGTGAGAATTTTGATGTTCTACAAATTATAGGAATATGTCAGGATTTTTATACTTCAGAGAATTGGTTTTACATTAAGATGTCAGGGTTCTATACTTTCATGAACTGGTTGATGTATGATTTTTGGTTGTAAGTTCATGATGTACAGAGAAGTGTTCTTCACCAAGTTCTTTTCTATGAAGGGAAAATTTTGGTTTGTTTTCTACTTTTAAAAATGTTATCTGTTTATCTCAACTATAATGAATATTATATATTCAGAGATTTTATTATTTTCTTTTTTTTGGCGTGGTATAAATGCATTAATAGCTGCCTGGAGTTATCTTTGTTTATTAAAAATCTAATGCATTGGAGCCTAGATTTTTCGTCTAGCAAATTCCACATATTGAGCGTTTGCTATGTGAAGTGCAGTTTGTTTGAGCAAAGCTTATTTTCTTGAAATGCTGCATAGAATGAAGTATAAAATAAAAAAATACATGTAGGATATGTTAAGAAATGGACTAAAAATAAAACTAAACCATATTCTTTCTAGTCTTAAGTGATCTGTTCAGAATGTTGCATTATTTTAAGTTTTTTAGCAGAAATTATGACCATATGCAATACAGTAAAAAGTCCAATACTCTGTACAAAATTAGTTTAAATGGAATGTGGCAACTACTGTATTTCAATTTTATCTAAATAATAAAATCCTCAGTGTTAATGTTCTGTGTTGTTTTAAAGAAAGATACAAGCATAAAATCATTTTGATGCTTTTAATTTGTTATCCTTTGCTGCCCTCTTCAGCTCAGATGATGTACATCTTTGGAGTAAGGTAAGTGGAGATAAAACTGTAAATAAAATCCAGATTCTTTAGGCACTGCATGTTTATGGTGCATTACTGTAAATCTGAATTCTGAGCCTGATAATTGTAGAGCTGATTAATTTAAACAAGACTTCTGTTAGTGGCAGATTGTACAAGTGTATGAAATTGAGTTTTCAACTTGGACAGTTAAGTGTAATTGTGAAAAATCAAATGTGGTGTTACCATGTCAAGTAGCTTATGCTACTGCAATTTTTAGATCAATGTTGTTACAGCTGAAGATAGTTGTAGCTTCTGGAACAAGGTCTGCCATGGTTGTGCTGTCTGACATTAATTCACTTTCCTGCCGTCCCTAAACTTACTTCCTATCCCTGCCCTAGTACTAATAAAATAGGAAGGCACAATTAGTTTTTAAAGTTTCGGTCATATAACTTAAAACACTGAAATCAACTGAATGAAATCAAGGGGAAATTACTAATCATCTTGCCATCCCTGGTACGGGCTACATTAGAAAAATGCTGCAACATAATTGGTCAATAAATTTTGCAGAACATTAGAATAGATGTTGGCACATACTGACTGGAATGTGGTTACAGAGTTTGGGAAGGGATGCATTGTGCTTTTTGTTTTTATTCTTCAGTACTGTTACTGCTGACTAATGAAAGTATATTTTAGATTTTGCAAAGAAATCTTGGAGTAAAATGGAACTTGGCATTTGGAATGTCACTGATTACTGATTTATATAAAATCAGTAATCAGTGCAGGGTTTTTTACATTTTTCTACCATTCACTGTTGTGTGATGATTCTGGTGAGAGGGTGTTTTTGTCTTCTGCCTCTCTCCTTTCTTTTTTGCATTAAAAAAACCCCAAAGAAACAGAGGGCAGGGAAAATAAAAAAGGGGATCTCTCTTGCTCCCATTACAAAAATAATTTTGAAGGACAGTCAGAGAGCTGAATAATGTTGGTCTGCATATGAAGTAATAACTAGAGTTACTTCCTCTTCTTCACAATGGAAGAAAGATAAATTTTGTTGTCTTCACTAAATTTAGGAGTTAAAATGTGCATTGAACTTCTAAAATAAGAAATGCTAACTTGGGAAATAATAGATACTTAGCATTGGAAATAATATCACACATTAATTTTTTTTCTATATTCCATCCCTTTTAGTATTCTGAGATTTGATTCAAAAGAACTGTGTTATGACTTCCTTGGGTTTTATTGTAGTGTGTGTTCATTTGTCGTAGGAAGATGAGGGCAAAAGGGCAGATGAAAGCTGTAGTTTAACAGTGCGCTGTGTCCATGTTGTTGATAGAATGAAAAGTAATAGATAAGTTATTCAGTAGCATGTTTGGTACTTTATGGCTTTATTTATCCGTTTTCATCAACAATTGAAGTTGAGAATTCCTTTTCTTTTGTAATTACTTAAAACACAGCACTTTGGCAGTGAGAGTGCATCTCCCTCTAACTTCTTTGAGGTGGCATTCTAGAATTATGGCAGATAAAACAAAAATTCTTGAAACACAATTTCACTTTCTAACTGAAGATTTAAATAATTAAAATGATTTAATTTCCTTAAGAACAGTCAAATGGATTTTTAAAGTGATGTTTAGGTTAAAGTAATTGTAGGTAGGATGTGGGGGCTTTTAAATAAATGCTTCTTTTTCTTCAGAGGAAGTAAAATCTTTGTATTTCTTTGGTTTGTATGAAGGATAAAACGTGTGCTAAATGTAACTGAATGCAATTAATTTTTATAGCTGCATATTTTGTCATGCAAAATTGCACTTATTTACAACAGCTGTACTAGTTACCTTAATTCTAGCAGAGCATGATAAATGACGTTCCTTTGTTTTTTATGTATTTGCCTCTTTCAAATTTTAAAAAAGCTTTATGGGCCAGTTTCAGCCTTTCAATAAATTGAAACATAATTGTAGCATCTCCAGGAGTGACACTGGTTAATATTTTCTTTAAGCAGTGTCTTATGATAGGTAACTTTCTGTAGAATGATATATAAACAGAATACTAGAGTGTCTCTGTCTTAATGCCATACCACAGAAAGCATTTCTCTTTGCAATATTTTTTCAGGAAAAACCTATTATTTACAAAAAACCCCTTTGTATTTCTTAGGGAATGACTATGATGTGGTAAAGAATAATACTTTAACAGAGAAATGCTTTATTATTTTGAGAATTCAATTTCAGATACTATTTGTCCTTGCTTGCTTCTTTTGGCTGCAATGTACGATTATTCTGTCTCACCAGATAACAGAACTGTTGTACAAGGATGAACGTTATTGCCTGACGCCTCCAGGACCTACTGGTAGAGTTTCAATTTCTATGATTGTAACTTATCCACAAATCCGTTCTTCTGTGTAATGATGGGTTTGAGGGATTACAACAGTAAACACTGATTGCTTCTTTTTGAAAGTGAAATTTGAAAACATGTTGGGTAAAATCCTGATTCAAATAATCAGAGCATATTTTGTGAGATCCGTGAGATACCTTTTTTTTTTTTTTTTAGAATTATAAACAAATCTTGCTGATAACAATTTATTTTTCTAAATGTATAGTCCAAAATGGAGATTTAGAATGAATACAGTATCAATACTTAAATACTTTTAAAAAAAGATTAGAAAATGCAGTCTTTCAATCTAGTTTTACTTTTAGTAGCTCTTTTGATTTTGTGAAACAAAATGTTACTTAACATCCCAGTTCTTCTACTTTGAAATAAGTAGATGTGTTGGGCGGAGGGGGGTGGGGGGGGGGGGGGGGGGGGGGGTTGCAGAAAGCGGAGGGGGGGGCGGCCCCACCCCCTTGTCAACCCAAGGTGCACGGGGGGAGGGGGACAGCGAACCCGGGAGAAGGCAATAGGGAGGGGGCGTCCGGGGCGGGGGCAGGACCCCGTAGAGTTGGGCACGGGCTAGACAAGTAACACGAGCACGAGGGGCGGAAATCTGTTCGGCCGAGAGGGGCGTGGGCCGAGAGCCCGTGCTCATAGGAGGGGAGCGAATGGGGAAAGGAGGGGGGGATGGAGGAGAGGAGAGGACAATAGGGAAGGAGCGGGGGGGAGGGAAGAGATGGATAAAATGTACAGAATAAATATGCAAAGTATTAGAAATCTGTTTTTTCTTTTGAGCGATGACAAAATATTTGTGGCAACTATTTGGGGTAGCAGGCAGGAAAGGGGGGGAAGGCCTTGGGCAGTACCACTTCTGTCACACAGTAGTGGAAAAAAATAGATTGAAGTAAGATTCTGTACTGAAAAGCTGTCACTAGGTCTGAAAATAATTAATATTCCTTTCACTCACCAGTTAGATATGTGCTCCCAAACCACATAATCTCTATGCCTCAGTGATCATTGTTGCCATTTCAGAGCCTCTCATCAGGGTGACATCTCACACCAAAATGATTTCTTATAAATTAATCTTGATAACATGACAGTCTCGGTAATTTTAGTGGAATGCTTTCTCTTGTTTTTTTCCACAGAAGCTGTTGGCTATTTTCTTTATCACTTGATTGACAGCATGAGTGACTCAGAGGTACAGGCCAAGGAGGAGCGTTTGAGACAATACTTCCATCAGCTGAAGGAGATGGTACCATTTCATTTTTTGCTACATAATGCCTGTCCTGCCTGACATGTATCTATTAGGTTTGAAATTGCTGCTTTTAAGTACAACCAGACCACTTCTCAATGACATGCAAGAGCTGGAGACTTGAATTACGTCTGAGATAATTTCTGTTAGACAAATTTCAGTTTGGTTGTGTTTCAAAACTCATATAATTTTTTTCCCCACCTCTTGGTACAGAATATAGTTATCCCTACAAGCCACTACAGCGGCATTTGCAGACTGCTGGACTCCTCTCAAGTTCCTGAATTAATTAAGGTCTGTGGTTCTATAGCAATTGCTTTGAATCTAAAAAATCTGTGAATATATTCTCCTTTGCAAAATAAATAGCTTCATGCAGTGGTTATATGTAAGCCTCTTTACCTTTCCGTGATTTTTTCACTGTTGAAGCTGATTTCATTTCATATGTGAAAGGGATACATTTAATAAGTGCTTTCTCAAGTCAGTGTAATAATGCTGCAGAATACAGCTTTTTTAACATTGCTATTATATAATGATCTTGAATGTTTTTAGTACTATATGCTTACTTAGAGATTGAACTTTTGGGGGGGATTAGTGATATTTTTGTTTTACTGCATTTTAGGATGCAAGGTTACTGTGTCATAAAAAATCCCTGTCTACCGATGACATTCCAGAAGTAAGTAAATTCACAGATAGCTATACTTGTTCTTACTGTAATAATACTGTTTGGATATGGGGTTTAGATGAAGTGTAATCGCTAGCTTTCAGATCATGGAAGTATATTAACGTTATTTAAATCTACCATTTGAAGTTCAGAGGTTACTTTCCAGAGTAGGAGTAAAGGCTATCCGGATTTTCACATAGACCCAATACTTGACCTTGGAGTTGGCTGAGGTTTCATGCCTCAGTTTCCCTGTCTGGTAAATATTTTTTGAAAGTTCTAGTTAGTTAACGGTAGTGGTGAGAGGCTTAATTCATGCTTGTAAATTACAGTGATCCACTTGAGTGGCAGGAACCATATAAATCCATACTGCTTCTAATGGTGGAGTGTCAGGTCTTTACATCCCTGATCTGAGCAAAGTGGAGACGGAAAAAGAAACAGGCTTCTATTCCCTACTTCCCTGAACACAAAGAACTGAGTAGGAGAGAAAGAGTAGTGTTGACCTTTGTAGATATGCGACTTAATGCTTTTTTTTTTTTAGTGTATTCTGACTCAAATCTTCAATTAGTATGTACTATTTAAACAGATAAAAGCACCTTAAATGATTAAAAAATTTCTTCGAGTATGAAAGAAGAGGATTATTTTGTCTGTCTTTTATTAAAGTGATCCGACAAGTTGTTCAGGGAGGGTGTTTTTGCAACTGACATTCTTTCTGTTACCTCCATTTAGAGTGCTAAATCTGACGTGTCTGCTTTGGAGAAGAAACTAGAAAAGCGAAAAGCTGAAAACCAGCCTATTACAGATGTCTTGAAACAACTCATACACGCTCTTTGTGAAGAAGAGGTATCTTAAGCAATGCGGAGATAATTGGAAACACATAGCTATATTTTTAAAGGGACATAAATGACTGTATTATGGAAAGACATAGTTAAGCAAAGACAAGTGCAGTGCTTGAGGTTTCATGGTTTGATGCTTATAAATCAAACATAAGTGCAAAAAGCAATTAAATCAAAAGGTTAACTAATTTCAGCAACACCTTGAATGGCATGTTTTGGGGTTGCTGAAGTTTGTTTACAATAATCTGCAAAGTGAATGATAGTAACAGCTGTGATAGGTTTATCATACATGCCAAATGTCCTTTCAAGCCATGGCTCCGGTCTCTTATATCTAGATTGTCAAGCAACTGATACATGCACTAGTCATTTGCAATTCAAATATTACTAGGTTGTTAATGCAGGGATTGAAATTCCATTTTCCTGCAGGAGGAAAGCTCTTCTGAGATAAAGGGTCCCTTGCCTTCATTCGGCAGGCGTCCAGCTGTAGTTTACATTCATTTAGTGTGTGTCTGTAATTTGTGGGGTATCACCGCACTTTTGTTCAGTTTCTTGTTCAGTATGATCCTGCCTATAAAGCTGTGGATATAGGAACAGTAACAGTCATGCAGATGATAGCACAATATTCTGTGTTGCTAAGAATGCAATTTAGAAAGAGTGGTTCTCAGCTGTGTGTCTCTACCATTTTGCATATGAAATAAGTCTAGATGCAAACACCATTGGAAGTTCAAAGTGGTCAAATGTATGAATAGGAATTTATAGAAAAATAAGCTTTCAATGGGATTATTAAGTAGTTTCTTATTCTTTAGAAAGTAGCTCTGTTATGTGTTTGACAGTGTACCAGGTGAAAATTGTTATAAATTTCAAGTAAATAAGAACTATTTTAGAATTTGGGTTAATAATTTTTATGGTCTCTGGATTAAAAAAAGTCTTACATTAAAACATGCCAGAAATATAAATGTAAAGCAAGAAAAATTATAATCTCACGCTCGTGTAAAAGGTGTCCTACAAAAATATTAATTTCTGCAAAATAACTTTCAGTCTCAAAATTTGCTAAAGCATTACAGCACTGTTTTCGTATGTGATCTTAGACTACTAAAAGCACTAAAGCAGTCATGTAACTGTACACTGAATATATAAGAATCATAATGTCAGATTGACTTTTCCTCTAGTTCACATCTTTGCTTTGTTCCTTTTTTAGAATATGCAAAAAGCCCTTGAAGTGAAAGCCAAATACGAACCGGACATGGTTGTCGGTGGCTATGCAGCCTTAATAAATTTGTGCTGTCGACATGATAATGTAGAAGAGGCAATGAACCTGAAAGAAAAAGTGTAAGTACACCGGCACTGAAACATGTCACAGAGATTTATGCTGATACACAGACCTTGTTGAATTAAGTAGGTTGAGTATTAACCCCCTCATCCATTTTTAATTAGTTTTCCCCACCAATGTATGTGCATTTAAAACAGTCATGGGTGTGGTTTTTTGAAACAAAAAATTTGCTTTGTGTAATTGAACATTAGAAGCAGCTACTTTGTGTGGTCAGTAATTTTTTTTTTAAATTTATTTTGAAAAAGGAAGTTCACTACGTAGGATGTGTTTTGTTTTTATTGTAAACATACATCATGTCTGAATTGAGGTTTGGCTTCATTTAAGGGGGAAAAAGGTACCTGTATTGTGTGTTTGAAAGCACCAGGAATGTGTTTAGAATGCGCTACACCTATGTTGTTTTTAGAATAGCAGAGTTTGGGTAATGCCATTTTAAGACTGTCAGCAAGCATTCTGCTTTAAATTTTTATATTCTGAGCTTTGTATCTTGGCTGTAAAAGTTAGCTCCCAGCTAAAACATGCTATGCATGACTTATCCTGGAGCAAATTCTTACAGATGATCCTTCTATTTGCTTCTGTCCTTTTTCCCGTGAAAGGCTCCTTTTGGTCTGATGCTACAGTGAATATAAAAAAAGTTACGTGCTACTTTCAGGTTCTCTCATATGCGCCCACAAAATACTTGCTTTGGTTTTACGGTAGGTTAGCAGGCAGGTGCTATTACACCTTGCTAGTGTTTGAAATTATGCGAAATGATTGAGCTGTGGATGTCAAGAAATTTGCCACTCTGCAAATAACAGTAGTGTGTTGATTTTGCCTGCACTACTGCTCTCACACAGTCACCGTAGTGAAACAGCAGTGGAGGAATTAACTTTTAATACTTACAGAGAAAAGAAAACAGACACGTAGCAGAAACTTCAAAGTAGTGGCCTTTAACTTGTTACCATAGGTGAATAGTTTAGTTTTCTTTATAAATATTTCTTTATATAGAATGTAGCCTTATTGCAGCCACATGGACTATGTTTTCTTCCCGGGCTTCTGAGAAATACCCTACTTTATGCAATAACTTCCAATTAATTAATTAAACAGTCTCTCTCCCTCTCAGAAACATAACCTTTGGCTTTTGAGCATGGGAAGGTGTGTAGATAATTTTTGAATCATGTTTTAATTGTGCATTTTTTAAATTCAATCAGATTTTTCCATTAAGTTTTATTATAATTTTAACTCTCGGTGCTGTTGTCATGTTATACAGTTATAAAAATAAATCTTTAAGCTGAATCCATAAAATGTGAACCTCTTTTGATCCAATTCTTAATGTTTTAATTTCTAGCTTCCCTAAGAATTCACCTGTTGCTCTTGACACTGGAAAGTACATAGCACTGGTAGAAGTCTTAGAAAAGCATGGTAGACTGGAAGGTAATCCATTTGCTTTCATTGTGTGTTTCTGCTATATAATAAAGGTATCTTGGCTCAAGAATAAAAATGTGAGTTGATATTAATGGTATATCATGTCCTGAAAAGTGCTTGAACATTTTGCATACAAATTTGCATGTGAATTCAACCAGAGATGCTTGGACAGTGCAGGCCATTAGTTTTAATGGATTGGCAAGCTTGTCATTTACATTTGCACAGCTCAGTGCTTTTTGCATTTCTGCAGCTAGTTTTTATTAGCATTGCTGTTTGGATTGAGTTTGAAGATCATGACTTATGGCACAAATTGCGTATGTGCCTAGACTAATGGCTTTGTTTTTGCTTAAGAAGGTCTGAAGGCTGAACATAAAACCTATAAACATAACCTTCTCATAAGAGCCAAGTACTGCAACAAATCATTTAACTTTTTATAAAGTATATATTTTTCTGTTACTATTCTTTTATGTGTTTGTTATTGAATTTTAGATTTAATCTGCAAACTGCCTGGAAATTTTGGCTTTTAATGAGTCTTTTGCAAACTGCCTATTTTGTATTTCTAGATGTTTGCATTAAGCTGTTAGCACTTTAATTTCTGTAATGTAGTCTAATATAATTCTGTAGTTTACATGATTTGGTTGATCTTTAAAAGAACTCTAGACTGTCATCAACTTTAAAAGGTAATTCTGAATATTGAGTTCTATGATTTTGTAGAACACCATAAAAGTGTGGTCCAAGCCTAGATACAAAATGTTATGGTTTTATGTAAAGCACTATACAATAAAATAAAAAAGCTAATGTAATTTTTTTCATGTAAGATCTTCCTTTGAAATTTGTCTTGACCTCTTATTAAGCTTATTGTTAAAAAAATAATAAATGAAGCTGATGTTTTCCATATCATAATAAATCAGATCATGACCACCTCTACATTAAGCAGTTTGAAAAGATGAGCTTGCTTTTAGGAGCATAAATGTTCCTCAGAAAATAAAATAATTCATAAGTGTAGCCAAATGTAAAGTGGTCAAAACATTCTGTCTATTCAATAATTAAGAACATTATAAAACATGATAAAAATGCACTTATTCCGTATACCAAAATGTTTGTTTCTGCCTTACTAATGAAGCTTAATGAACCTAATGTTTTAACATGCAGTCTGTTAGAAAGCTTTCATTGGCTCTCCTTGGCTAATTAGTATCGACACAGCAAACAGGCCCTATCGGTATCAGACCATTAGTCTGGCTGTATATACAGTGTAAACATATCTTTATTATCTGGCCTCGTGACAAGCCATCTGCTGAAGAAACAATGGAGTGATTTAGCAGATGTTAGCATTGAACGATAAAAGCATCCATTTAGTAGAATCTTGCAGCTATAGGGCAGACTGTACGGGGTTATGTGGTGCAGAGTGGGCACGCAGTTCCTATCTATAATTTGTAGTCAAAGTTGCAGCAAAATGATAAAACCATGCTATTGTGGATTTATAATTGTAGTCTCGTTTAGAAATGCAAGTAGTAATTAACTTGAAATCGGCATTATACACCAGAATTTACATTCCTGCTGGGTTTGAAATGCTGTTTTAATAGCAGTTTGTTTTCCCTACATGAAATTACCTAAGGGTCTTTTGTGTTGTTTCATTGTAGATGCTATTAACATTCTAACGGAGATGAAAGAGAAGGATGTTCCTATCTCAGGCAGAACAGTTGCATCTCTTTCCCGCATTCTTAATGCCGCTGCCACGCGAGGTGAAGTTGAAACAGTGAATCGGTTACACGAGACCATTGTGAACCTGGGCTTGGCAGAAAGTCCTGTCCTTCATTCCCCCCTGATTACCGTTCACCTTGAAAAGTAAGCTGTGTTTGGGCTTCAGATGAAACAAGTTGTGATATTTATTTGTGTTATATGACCTGTGTATGCTGCTCACATGCCTGTTTGGAAGCGCTCACGTGCGTAAGCGTGTACACGTGCACACACAACGCTAAGAACAGTAGTGAATGAATATGTTTTCCTAATTTAGCTACGTCTGTTTTCATCAGGCAGACATCATGTGTGGGAACAGCAGCTGTGTTTTATGGTCATATCAGAGATGAAGTGGCTATATGTTGGAATATGCTTATGAATTAGTTTGTTCTAAAGTCTGTTTGACAAGATAGCTATTCAGAGCATGATAGGTGTAGTCTCAGCTCTCGTGGTTAAGTGGTATGTGTTTTCCCATCAAAACAGCATTATTTTGCTGTGCCTTCCAATATATCTCAGGTGGGTTGAAGGGTAGTTGTTGAACACTGAAATATTTTTAATTCACATAATTCAAATAATTTGATATTATTGCCAATAGACTGCTATGTTGATGAATTTAAAATTCAAAGAACAAGCTGTCTGGCTTGTCTGTTATGCTTGGGAGGGTCTTGCCTATATATACTCTTAATACTATTTCTTAGAGAAAAGGAATTTTATACAGTCATTCTGTCAGGAAGTATCTGTAATTCCATGTGTTATGTTCCTTCACATAAATTTTCAGTATGAGGTGTAGAATATTTGAATTAATGTACATATAAACTATATAACAATTTCTTATTAAAATTAAGCAAAGGGTCTCTTTTCACTTCCTTTACTGTATGTACAATCCTTTTATTATTCTTTTCTGTGTCACTTATGTAGTTTCCTGGATTTTAAACTCTAGCAGCTAGAGTTGATTAATCAGTTTCTTTAGATTTGGTTCATGTAAATGAAATGTTATTTGTTTAAATATAATACCTATGAAATGAGTGAGTTTTTCATAATATCATGTAAGTCAGCCATGTAGAGGTTTCTTAGTTCTTGTAAGTACTCTGGGTGTGCAAGGTCTGTGTAACATTTTCTATATTGAAAATTCTTGTCAAGAAGATGTAACTCTTGGTTAGATGTATGTGCATTCTCTTCTAAAATTAGTATTTTAGTGTAATGGTCAACAATTAAGAATATAGTGTACATCTTTTCAGTCAGCAACTCTGCCTTGGTTACATCACAAGAAAAGGCAGATGTTTATGAAAATAATTTAACTGCAATCATATGTAACTAATGTGTCGCAAAAATATCTGATATGCTTTGCAGTGTGCAGTAAGAGCAGCTGCATTTTCCATAATTGCTTTATGTGCGTTGACGTGCAAGCTGTACCTGGTGCTGCTTGGGTTCTTTGCACTTGAGATGTAGTGTAGGATGATGTAGATAAAGATGTGATCATCTGTGGATGAAAAGCAGGACGGCAATAAGTGTTATTTTAATTTAATTCTATGTTCTTTTGGATTATAAATGTTTGGTAAAACATTCTGAAAAGTTTCTTTTTTAACAAAGGAAGAGACTTTTGATGAGACTAGATTAATAAAGGAGGAAGTAGTTCCAGACTGTGGAATTGTGTGGCTGCAAGTCATTGGCACTCACCTGTATAACTCTTACTACATTTCATATATACAAATCCAGTGCAAAATAAGCTCATTTCCTGTGGGTTTTTTGCTACCTTTTGGGTGGAGAGACTGATTCCTCTTCAATGGTAGACAAAAATGGGAAATTTTTTTCTGCATAATTTGCTTGGGAGGAATAACTGCATTTCACTAGGATTTTGCTCCTGTGTTGTTTTGGTTTGGTTTGGTTTTTTTTGAAAGTTATGAGCGACTGAAATACGTGTAATACGTGTTAGTCATTTCTTTCAGCAGTAGTGCTTACTGTTTGCCATCCTACAGCTCAAGTATCATGCTGAAATGCTGTCATTTCGCTGCAGGTCATCAACATACCTCTGAAATTAGCTCTGGGATATTTTTTAATGTTCCACAGCAGTGGTTTTGCTAGTTTTTTGTGTTCTTAATTTATTTCAAACTTTTTAGTTGCTTGTAAAGTAATCTATGATTTGCTTTTGAAGATTACAACAATCGTAGGTGTAAAATGTTTTCATCTGCTCCTTTTCTCCAGTCCTGAATATTCTGAAATTTTTAAGTCCTAGTGCATGTTAAACATGACAATTTGCAGCAGAACATGGAAAAGAAAATAATGTTGATGATGGATGCGTAACTTGACAAAAGCTAACAAAATCTAGTATTGTACATTTTGCCGTTAATATTTTGAGAAATATTTAACTGAAGTAACTAGAGAGAGAACTCAGACTTACCTTGGGGGTTTTTTGACCCTGAGTAAGGGGAACTACCCCCTGCTTTAAATTGTGTTGATTTTTATTTATGACCTTGACCAGTTTCTCAAGATGGGACAAACCACAATCTTGGTCTGTCATTCAAGGTGATAAACCTCCCCTGGACCATATGACAAAAATCCTAGTTTCTAAAATCTGCAAGGATGTAAAGAGCTTGTACTTTTTCTTACTTTTGAACTGGTTCTTCCAGCTGCTAATAATTAGAAAAGCTTGTGTTACCTTCATCACGTAAAAGTTCTTAAGATTTTAAGGTTTGTACTTTTGGCTTACATCCTCTAACAGCTCTCAGGGAAAACCTATTTGAACATGAACAGTTTTGCTGAAGAGGTTTTTGCAACTGTTCCTGTCCTATACAATATTGTATAATACCTATTTACAGGATGATAAATTGACAGATGAACTACTGTTGCTTTTTTTTCTTTCCTCCAAGAAAAATACACGAGCCAACTTTTTGTACAACTGAAAACAGGAATACATACCTTAAAACCTTGATATGGTTCGTGTTTTTTCATTAACATAGGTTTGTTTCTGTTCTCCTTGAATAATATCACCTTTGAGAAAAGAAACAAAACATTTTCAAATTTAAAATTTACTAATTCCCTATATCAGAAATGTTCTTAAGCAGAGGGAAGAAAATTTGCAGGTAAACTGTGAAAACATTGTTACAGACCATATGAACAAAGTATTTTGTAGTTTTAAGTCAGGAAACACAAACAGTTAATATCTGTATATTAAATGATCAAAATGCTATGGTTGGATTGTTTTTCTTTAAAATAGGTTAGTGTATTTTCATACAGTGTTGTCTGGTAAAGCATTGTTGGATTGTTTGTCATTAATCTTATATAAACCCATTTTGATTAGTTTCTTATGTAGTAGATAGAGCATGAATGCAGTGCCTTGACAATTTTTCTTCTGTTGTTTTCATGGAGTTAAATTCAGTTACGGTTTTGGTTGAGATCATTCAGTGGCACAAGTTATTTGACTTTTAAATGCACTTTTTAAAATAGGCATATTTTTAAACTAAGTGGTATTTTTAGTGGGGGAAAAATATCTCTAGTGGGGAGAGGTTTTTTTTCTAATTTTTAGCGGCTTTATTTCAAATATTTGTATTAAAACCCTTTACGTGTTGCAACGAAATTAGGGATGTTTGGCTCTCTTACTCCATTATTGCAATTAGGAATTTAGCATCATCAGTGCCAAAGGACAAAAGTGTCTCATTTGCCCTATGGGGACAGGACAGTGATAAGATGATTTTTCGTCAAGGATCATTGGGTCGTAATTAAGTTACATTCATGGCTATTGCTTTTTGAAGGATGATTGGTAAATGACAGGCTTCATGTGCTTGCTATGGACAGTGTTCACTAGGGTTTTTTCTCCTTCTGTCAGAAAATCCTGTTGAGTCTGATAATGTAAATGTGGCATTTTATTCTGAACAAAAGAGCAGGGAAATGAGCTATCTTGTCTAATCATTCAGTTGTTTAACACCGACTTCCAGTTTAGACTCAATTGGCTGGAAAGCACTTGACATGTGAAGTTAGTGCTGTTCCGAACGCATGTTTGAGTAAATTTTAAAGTAAGTGACAGCTAAATTGTACCTAGGGAAATTACAAAGCCTTCAACACAGTTAATTTTTTGGGGAGGATTAGTTGTAATTGCAACACCAGTCTCCTTGAAGATTCCTTAGTATAGCAGATGAACAGAAACACATTTAGCTCTATCAAGAGCCTGTTCTCTTTTAACAGAATAATTTTTGTAAAGCTGATTGCACCTTGCTGAATTGACTTCCCTCTACACTAACATCTGCTTCAGATTTGTAGAGAGGGATTTGTTTTACCAGGCTACCCTCCACCCCCACCCCAGAGAGTCCCTTTTTTCTTTCTACCTCTCTAGTGATTTCAGGTTTGAGAGCTTTTCAATCAGTAAACCCCTTAGGTAAATTGCCACTTCACTAAAGCTTTATGCATAATGTTGCAGCACTTCATTCCAATTAAAATCAATATTTGGAGTCTTATTTTTATCAGGCAGACTCTCTGGTTGGGAAAGTTGTTTATTACAAGTAAAAGGGTTAGATTTAGTGCTACATTCTTAAAGCAAGAGGAGAGTGGCTTGTGGAAATTAAAGGGGACTGACATATCCATGCACATTATAGCCAGTCCTGCTACAGTGCGTTCTGCAGAAACTCTTGACGTCTGAGTAACTTTGGCTCTTCAGATAGTTTTGTGTGATTAAAATTGCCCCCACAAATATTTTGTAAAATTGGACCCATAATATCTTGGGACTTTATAAACCTCCTAAACAGAAACCAAAAGAATCAAATAACTTGATATCTTAACCTGAGCATCAATTTAGCTGACAAATAGCCAAAGTAGGACTCTTCTGGGACTGCATAAGGGCCAAGCATAAGGTAGTGATGGCTGAGGCTCCTTCTGTCATTCAAAAATAACAGTATATGTTCTTTTTTAAAAGAACGAGTTTCAATGTGCCGGAAAAAATACACCTAATCTTTAAGTGGAACAGGTATTAGTCCTGAACAGATAGTATTTGTGAGTGACTTAAAGCTGTAGTAATCTGGCCAACTCAAAATGAAGTGTGGATCATCTATGTTCACATTTTAAATACTGTTTATTCCAAACCGACACCAGAAATCAGATTTTTCCAACATGGCTACGAGTGTATGGGCTTTATTACCTTTTTGACTTGATCCATATTAATTGAATAGTAATTTTGGACCAGGCTTTTAATGCAGTTTTTTGTGCAGTTCTATTTTTTTAAAGTTAGCCATAACAAGAAACTCACTAAAATGTTACCTCTACTTGAAATTTGAAGCCTACAGTGAGTTCCTGATTTTCGTTTTCTAACAGGACTGTAAAAACTACTTACAAAAGTAGCTGCTGGTACTTGGAATTAAATGCAGTTTGTGACAATTAAAAAATACTGCACGTTGTTGAACAAATTGTACAAATTCAAGTACCAGCATAAGCTTGATCATTTTTCCTTTGCAGTGGTGGTACAAACAATTTGTAGAGTCTGAACTTCCCTGTCATTTATTGTTTTATATTTGTCTCGTGCCAGTTTTAGCAGTGTATCTGTTTTATAAACCCTGTCTTCTAGTAAGCTGTGGGTGACTGGTTGGTTGATGAAATGCAACTAACCCAATATATCTGATTTTGATAGATTCAAAACAATTGTGTGTAAATCAGTGTGTATGATACCGACCTCCTTAAATGCAGACTTATTCAGCCTCTCTGAGCAGTAAGTACCATTAACAAGGACAATATTTCCATTTTTGTTGTCTCAGTTCTTCGCTGACCTTTTTTTTCTGTATGTGCAGTATTGCCTTCAGAAGTATACATTTAGAGACTAGAAAGCTGTTAGTATTACTGTTTGAATGACATTCCAATTAGTTATTCATTTATTGATAGCTTTGACCTAAAAACAGTCACTTTGATCCTCTAGGAATGCAGCCGAGACAATACTATGGCTGTTTGAGCATCAGTTTGAAAAGCTAGATTTATCACTGAAAACTTTAATTTAAATGTGTAAATGTTGTTGTGCCTCCCTAGAAATTGAGTAGTTTTCTGTAAAACTGGGTTTTTTTAGATGTTAACTGAACTTGCATCTAAAGCAGAAGAAAAATACTGATTACATAAATCTTTATATCTGACTATGGTAACTACCATAGTATTTCTCTTTTATGACAGTAATCTAGCCTGAAACATCTACTTGCAGTTTTGAAATTAACCTGTAATTTAGTCTTCACCCCAAATGACAAAAATTCAAATGACTCCATGGGGTGCCAGAAGATGCACTGTAAACAGGGCTCAGTAAGGGGGATAAGGTAGAAATCCATCATCTTAGGTTCTTTTTAAGAATGCCAGTATTTCTGAACAAAATTAATTCTTCCTGTGTTTTACTCTTAAAAATTTTTGAAATACTAGCCTAGATTGTGGAAGTAGTACGTAGTAGTCTAGATAGTTCATTCTTTGAAAAAAGCAAAATCTGTGCTGCACAAGAAATGTGATGTGAGGAGAGGACATCTGAATTGGGCTTGTTTAACAATAATATCTTATTTCAATAAGGTTCTGTTGATCAATAATAAAGTTGCTTCAGGAATGTTAAATCATTATTTAGTTTTATTATAGCCTTCAGCTGCTGCTGTAAAGTGATATTTAAAAAAAAGATTTCTTTTTTTCCTTTGTAAGACTCTTGAAATCTAAAATGCAGTCTTACTGACTGTTTGGCTACTTACTACATTTTTGTGTGTGTGATTTCAGTTTGTTTCAGTTTAAACCTTCCCCTTCAAAGAATAACTTCACATGTTTTTACCAGTGGTTGTCCTCTGTTGTTTTAGGTGGATTTTTTTTGTTTTATTTCGTTTTGGTTTTGATTTGGTTGTAATCCTTTGAAGAATAGTCTACAGTAGATGATTAAGTACTGTCAGTTGCACAGTATAGAACATTAATTCATATTTGTTGTTAAAAGTTCCAGATGTGATTGTTTCTATGACTTTTCAGTTTTGCATTTTAACTGTGTACACTTCTGAAGGTGTTAATAATGTATACATACAGTAAAATTCAGCAAAGGATTGGGGTATCAAAAATGGAACTATTACGTGTTACTTGCATTTGCTGCTCAAAGGCTCCTGAGTAAGTGCATTTAAGGAAGTCAGCATGTTCTGCACTAATTTACTAGTACATGGATATATACTGTGACGTGGTTAGGCCAGCATAAAATACACTTTGATATCTTAATGTATTGTTGAATTAATTGCAAAAATTATACTTTTAGCAGAAAATATCCACTGCACTCTGACCTTCCTATAGAATGGAAAAATGCTAGCCCTTCCATTGTGTTGAAATGGAAGTCATCAGATGATTTATATCCAGTCTGTTAAGGCATAGAACAAGTATAAAGTGATCTAAAGAGCTGTGGTTATCTTAGTTAATTCTGGAGATCTGTATTGAAACAATAATGCTGTGGAAAAATTGTAAAGAACTTAGAAATTGAAAATGTCTAAACAGGGATATTTGGATGTAATATAGCGTGCACAGTACTACAAGCAAGAAAAATAGAACTCTGAAACAAAAAGTGAAATTTCCATGAAATTTGGGTTTAGTCAAGATAGTACCTAGCAGAGCTTAAGAATATTACTTCAAAAATAAAGTGTGTCTAATGATGAGACCATTTACACCTTTGTAGTGAACAGTGGTCATGCAATCAAAAATTATCTAGTCAAGGGGGAGAATACACACTTGAATTATATAGAGACTGCTAAATGAATTTTCTATGAAATTTTAAAGTGGCTTCAACATGTGTTACTTCTGCTCAGAATGTTTGTTTTTATTCTTGTTTTGTTTTATTCCACAAGGGATGACATGCCTGCAGCTCTGGAAGCTTTAATCAACTGTTATAAGAAGTATGGTAAAATTCTTCAACTTCATAACATCTACTGTAGACTGGTAGAAAAAGGAGATGCTGATCTTCTACAAAAGGGTTAGTTTCATGTGGTCAAATGCTGTCTGCTTGTATGAAGTGTTTTCTGGAGGCTTTTCTTCCAGGACTTGTGTATAATTTCTTTCAACTGAAAGAAAAAAATTGTTTGTATTTTCATGTATAACTTTAAAGCACTTAAATGATGCCTACGTTCTTCAGATTAAGAAATTGATTATAATTTTAAATATAGAACAACTCTGATGTTTGTATAATACGGCATTGAAGCAACGTATCTGTTTTTCAAATAGTTGTGCATTTCAGAAACCTAATATCCTCATTTTCTATGAACAGAGGGTGCCAGTATATAGTCTTGTCTGTTTTGTTGAATGTAGTTCAAAATGTAGTGCAGGTAATCAAAAGCATTTTTAATATGCTCAAGCACAAAGCTTCAACAAATTGTGTCATATGTTGTAATCATTCCGTATGTTTCAAAATTTATCTTCCTATAGCTTATTCTTGGAGTTTTTTGAGGCTTGGAAAATATTGGTATTAGGAATGTCTGACATAAATATTAAAATGCATCAATATGTTTAGTAAATTAACGAGGTTTATTTTCTCTTTAGTTTCAGATTTTATAAGCAGAGAATATGGTGACATGATGGCTCTTTATGATCTCTTCTTTGCCTTCTTGCAAACAGGAAAATACAAAGAGGCCAGGAAGGTCATTGAGGTGGGATTTTAACTATAGTACTCTAATCGTGCAGCTATTTAGACTCTTAATTAGAAACATTTAAAGTTTTTAACCTTTAATTAGACTTGTTCTGATTCATGTTAATAGAATTCAATTCCAATAATAAAAAAACCTCGGCCAGCTTTATTTTGTATAATTACAGTTCAGAAGAGAGACAGTCGTCTTGTATGTTGAAATTGTTTCCTCACTTTTTCAAATTTGCTCTTATATATCAAAATGATATTTGCATATTAAATATCGGATTGTGGAACAATTAAATTAAACCGGCATTCCTGGGTGTAAAGTTGCTAATCCTCTTTCCGAAGGAATTCTTTGTTCTTAAAAGCACTGGAATTTAATTTGCTGCAGACCATGCTCAGATTTATTTGTAATGCTTGTCTACAAGTTAATCAGCCAAACAAGTGCTGTCTGCTACTGTTTGGCATTTAATTTAGCATTTCTTCTCTCTCTCCCTTTTTCAGGATAGTAAGCAGCTTATAGGAAGTGGTAGGTGACAAACTTGGTCTATTTAGGATTAGTATATTTTATCTAGACTTGATTGAAATTGTGCTTACTGAAATTGATAAGTCAAAGGGGCAGCTGCAGAGTCTGCCCAGATTATGATTATTTTTATTCTTAACACAGTTGTATGTTTTTAAAATGCTGCATAAGTTTTCCAGCTAATGTATGGGAGGAGGCATCTTGCAGAAAAAGTAATACTTTGTCCTCAACGTTTTTGTATTTTGTGCATACACAACTCTTCTTGTCTTTTCTTTCCTAAGACAAAGAATGCTTGTTCTCCTAATTCCCCTTAGAGTATTTGAAATACCAGTTATCCCTACTTGAATTGTCTAATAGAATTCTAGCATTTGAAAAATCTTAACTGAAGATCTACTTGTTTGTCTGTGGTGGAACAATACTGTCCTGCTGTGGCTGAAGGGAAACTGCTAAGCACAGTGCTGAAGCATTGATATTTCTCTTCTGAGAGGGTTTTTTGGAGCACAAAAATCTCATAATACACAAGAAGGAAAAAAATATCAGTATCTGACAGTAGATGATACTGAGGAGTTGAGTTCTTTTTGCAGTGATTAAAGCATATAGGAGGTAAAAGGATAAAATCTGAGATTTGGAAGTAAAATTAAAGCTAAATGAGTAAAACTAACTTCATGTGATTTAGCAGCTCTTTCTTTGATACTGGCATTTAATTTCTCAAAATTTATATTGGTGTCTGGAGCTCAGTAATCATGAATAGGAAAGTAAGGAAGTTATAAAATTCGTGGGGCTTTGAAACTTTTGTCATTTTCTTAATAGCTACCAAAATATCTTTGCAGGTATTCAGTATTTGGTAATGGATCATAAGTTTTAGTAACCACAGATGCTTAAGCATCAAATACCTGGAGATTAAATGGAAGTTTTCCTGCCTTTTAAGCTATTTAAAGTAGGTTTTCTTACTTTTACCTAACTTCTATGAGGTATGAATTATAGCTTTGTATATGCTGTTGAGGAAAAACTGTTTTAAAATCTGGAATTATTAGTAGTATAGGAATTTAGCTAGGAATAGTATGAATGTATTTTACCAGTGGATAAAGTGGCACAAATCGATTACTATATGATGCATTATATTTTCAATATGGTTGTGTTACATAACAATATGTTATGTATTTTCAAAGCAGTTTTTTTTCACAAGAGGAGGGTAGAAATCTTAAAATTGATATTTGCTGAAGAAGGAAATTTTATTGTTTTAAACCTTAGGGAAGTTCCTATTTGCTTTTTTTTTCGTTGGGAATTCAAAGCCCTAATCAGTGTAATGTGGAAGATGGAGTAGTGGGTGTATGTGTATCCTTTTCTCTAGTCCAGTGGGGTTTGTGACTAAATTACTTCTCTTGATGGTCATCTCAGATAGTTTTTCTATTTTCTTTGCTTATGAAATAAGCTTTTCAGATGCTGTTGCATAGCTTACCTTTTAGCATGTACTTTCATCAAATATTGCTGATTATGGCGGTCACTTGGTTTTAATGATATTGTTTGTTTTGAAAGTGTCTGCGGAATTAATGAAGAGTATCTACAAGGGTAGTAATGAAGCTGGAAAAAATTTCCTTAGGAGCTAAGGATATGAAAACCTTAAAGGATATGGTTGCTTAAATGGAGTGTTACTCACTGGAGACCACTGCCTCTGCTTGCTCTGACTATTTTTAGAAATCAGAGGTACTTGAGGCGGTTATGTGGAATTTAGTGACAAGTGCTGCTTTGAAAAACTTGAAACTCAAAGCCCTAGCAATGAGAAAATAACTCTTAAATCTCAGATCTTTGGTAAAATGTGAGCGGGTGGCAATACTGGGAAAGAAAGAAGGGTAAGATTTGAGTGAGATTATAAAAATCAGATCAGAGTTGTGTATGTTCCGTTATCTGGTCACAAATGTATTGTGAATGCGTATATATAAACTTGTGTTTCGGGATATAGTAAGAAAGCTGAAAGCTTTGGAGCTCATCTCCTTGCTGGAAGAAGAGCAAGACTAAGTGGAGAATGATAGTATAAAAGAAGGAAAGGGGAATAGAAAGGAGATGAGACAAAGAATGCATCTGACCAGTGCTAGAACAACCAGACTGAAGCATGTAGTAGTTTGGCAGTGCAAGTCTCTTCTGAAGCAATGCTAACTGGAAGAGAAGCTGTGATTGAGAAGACTGGGGGGGGGAAATGCAGTTTCTGAGGCATCACAGAGTTTGTATGATAGTGCTGCTGGACTGCCTTGTTAAGCTTTTGAAAGTCTGTGCTCTCAGAGGCAATGGCTCCAAATAAGGTAGCCTTGGCTGCTCTGTGAAATGTAAGTCTGTTTTATTCTAGTTGTGCCTGGAGATTCCTGAGCCCTCGAAGTCACGCTGTGGTAGATGGATGTGCTGGTAGATGCTATTTTGCTTTACACTTGAAACAAGTTCTACCACTGGGTGCTGTAGTACATCAATGCATGATTTAGTCTTCTTAAATGCAATTCAACTGATAAGTAAGCTTTTGTCTTGAGTCCGTCAAAGATGATCCTGTCAAAACAAAGTTGGCACATCTATCTGTCTTACCACAAGGTCACATACTAACTTGCTTTCTCTTGGATTGGCATAGTATGACTTCTGTGTCATCAAATCTAGCCCTGGCTACTTAGGATTTTTCCCTTGCTTGGAAAGGCAGCTTAATTGCCTTTTGTCCTTGAATTTTTTTTTTCATTAAAAAAAAAGAAACAGACAAAAAACCCAAGTCAATATGTTTTGACTTTAACTAAAATAAACTACATTAAAACTAATGTAGGCTAAAAGAAAGGGATATGGATTTTCAGTGAATGGGATTAAGGGAAAAGTACCTTCTAGAAAAATATTTGCTTTGCCTGAATGTTGTCTTACTTCAAAAGTGTTTAATCAAATTTCCTCCTGGAGAGAGATCTTGTGTAATTATTTTTTGCTCCAGGTAGTAGATCAGAGAATCTACAATTGCTTGCCCTAGTATTCTTTATGTCTGCTGTATAAATGATAAGAGAATTTTCTAGAGCCTAGTCCCCCAGATCTCTCCAATCTTACCTGTTGGCAGTACTGGACAATTGAAAATCCCTTGTGGTTACTCAGTTATTGACTGTCACTTTATTAACCTAATAGAGCTCGTGGTTAAGAGCTGTACTAATTTGAAGGTCATCCAGGCAAGTAGGAATGAAGAAGTAAATGTTACACCACCTTAGGGGAATTTGTTTACTCTCCCTGTCATCTGTTACTTTGTTCTATTGTTTTCATGCTGCGGGGAGGTTTAAAGATTTCACTACCTGAAGTAGTTAAAGTACACTTGATGTCCGTCATTTTCATTCAATTTTAATTTTTTTTTAATCTCTGAGTTTTGCACCAAGATCTCGTATTTGCAGCTGTGTTACATGCATGATGGTTGAATACATTTCGATTTGACCTTTTTTCTTCATTTATTCATGCTGGTTGCAGCTATTAAAATACTTGCTTAATCTATGTATAATGAAGCCCATGTCCGCTCTTGACCCTTTCTGGTAGAGTTAGAACATTTATATATCGTTCACTGCTGTAACAGTCTTGCAGCAGAGGTTCAAGCAAGCTCGTCTATAAATCTGCTTAGCAGAAGTCTAAACCATGTTTTCATGGAGTAGAAATGAACACTGCACACCTGTTACTAAATATGCAAGGTTTAAAACTGGTGTTAAATCCATTTCTGCACTGCATTGATAAAATCATTGCACTTTATATGAAGTTTCATTGCACAGCAAAATACTTCACCAAATAAGGCCCACATTCAGAAAAATAACAGGTTACTTGGATTTTTGGTTGAGTGCTTATGGACTCCTCCAGTAGGAACTATGGGTTGGTAGCAGTGTTGGACTGCCTTTGTGTTATCTGAGAGATAACTTCTTGAAATCTTTCCAGATCAAATCACATCAGCTGTTAAATTAACGGCTGTTAATTTGTTACTTCAGTGAAAGAGTAAAAGCTCTCGTTTCTGCTCTGGTTTTGGTTTTACTGGAAATGAAGGCTAAGAGGATTACTGTATTTGGAATATAGGGAAAGATCTCAGAACTGTATGGCAAAATTTTTCAGATCAACCTGTACAGTTTGCTACCACTAGAGGAACCTGCCTTGAAAATGTCAAGGGATAGTGCATGGCTTCAGAATTCTTTTAACCAGATTTTAATTAAGTGTGATACTATCTTCATCTTCTGCTCTCATATTAAATATGTCATTTATATTTAATAGTTAAATATATCATACCATATCCCACATATCTCAAGACATTTATGTGAAGAATTGAGGGACAAATGTGAAATAGTTCAATGAAATGTGTTCCGATGTGAATAAATGCAGGAAAAGGCATTTGCTGCTGAAATCTGAGGCCTGACAAAAGGACTGGTTTGGGTGAGTATAGTGTACAGGAATATATCTATCAACAGATGTCAGGTTAATTTAGGAGGTAAATAGATTTAAGCAAAGAATTGTGACATCCACTGTCA